AGAGAACATGTTGAAAACTTATGCATTTCACAAAGACAAGATTTGTTGGTAAAAATGATACTTGTGCTCATCTGTCTTTTGATAGGTTTTGAATATTTTGTATCAGCTACAAGTTTACAACATGTACCACCAACAAGGGTGACTATGAACAGCGGGTTGAAAATTAACATTAGTATCAAGTTGCAAAAAGGTGAAGAAACACACACAATAGAGCTGTATAATGTGTTACTTTGATTCAGTTTGCAATTTGCATTGCAAAACTGAGCCGGTAAAACATCTTCAAGGAAAAAAAAAACTTGGTGGCGAAGACACTGTAATGGTTCTTAACAAATTTATTTTAGATATTTTAAGAACAACTAAAGTTTAGGCAAAAATCCATTTTTTGCCAGTCTAGTTGATCAGGTGGATAACTTTTTCAGGAAGCTGGACAGTATAATGTTCTGATAAAAAAAAAATGTAGTGATTAGGCTAGCAGTTTTCTTCTATGATACAAAAATGTTTAAAAAGTGTTCATAGTCAACTTGATTCATAATAACTTATAAGGTTGCAACATCATGTTGCAAACTTGTTGATTACATGTTGTAAACTTGTGCAAAATAGTTTTTGAAATGATATGTTGAACATGTTAGTAAAAAAAACTAGTTTGCAACATTTATATTGTCTTACCAACTTTGAATGACTCAATTGTCATAATAATTTTTATACTGATTTTTTTTTAGTCAAAAATATTCTAAATGTATTTTTACTTTAGTGCAATTAATTAACATCATTTATAGTTGATGGAGTCACTTTTTGCACTATAGGTAAAATGTGCTAGTAGACTAGTAGTAAAACATTTGGCTCGCAACCAGAAGGTTGGGGTTCAAATTACCTCTGCTGAAATTACTGTGCTAAATCTATTTCTCCGCACAGCGCCTTTGTTTAAAAATTTTAGTTGTTAATGTTGTTTGTTAGTAAAAATGTTAATGTTAAGGTTTGAGACAAAATATTTTTAAAAAATGAGTTGCTCCCTTGACTGAAGTGGTCATTGGAGCAATAGGAAGGTGAATTTATGAAATTAAAAAAAAAAATTTTGTACTCATACAATTATAAAAATTTGGTATTTAAATTGGTTTTTAAAAAAACCCAAAAAACTCATAAAACCCAAAAAAACCCAATAAAACCCAAAAAAACCCAATTGGGTTGGGTTTTTTTAAAAAACCCTGGGTTTTTTCCAACCCTGGCTGCTGGGGGCTTCAGTACATAGATCGACTGACAAATAGCCTGACTCGCAGTGGAGTGCTGCTACATCAACTGAGGGTTTGGGATGGGGAAGCAATTGTTTTATTTATCATTCTTTTATTTTTTTTTCTTCTTTTTAAAAAAAAAACGGTATAGCTTAAGGTAAGCAGAAAAAGTAAGCAAATGCTTATCAAAACATGCATTAGTAAGTATATATATATGTATATATATATATATATATATATATATATGTATATATATATATATATATATATATATATATATATATATATATATATATATATATATATATATGTATATATATATATATATATATATATATATATATATATATATATATATATATATATATATATATATATATATACAGGGGCTATTCTAGGAAAAAAATCTGGGCGGCAGGGGAGAAATTAGGCAGAAATATCTCCAAATTTTTTTGCGAAAAAAAAACAATATTTGTCCTAAAAAAAAAATGTCCTTAAATTTTAATTTGGGTAGCGCCCAAATACGGTCATTTATTTAAATTTATAAAATAATGTTTTTGTTATATAAATTTTGATTAAAAAAAAATACTCTGAAAAATTATACTTATATCTAGAAAGAGTAAATTTGACATTAATCCAAGTAATTTAAAATGGAAGTAAATAACATTGACAAGATAGTTAACATTGATCAGTGGATAAAAGAGAATGAAAATAATTTTTGTCCTCCTGTGTGCAATGCTATTATGTATTTTTTTAATTTTAAAAACTTTTTTTGCACAGGCTTATATTTTTGTATGTTTTGTAATTTTATATTTTTTTGTTTTTACATTTTATTTTTTTTAATTTTTGAATAAATTATTTTAATAACTTTTTTGACAGGGCTGAAGGTTTTTTAAAGATTATGTTTATTGGAGGTCCCAACACCCGGAAGGATTACCATTTAGAACAAGGAGAGGAGGTAATTTATGATTTAAAAAATCGATGATAGAAAATCGTTGATATAAAAAATTAACTCAAATTTTTTTTTTTATATCCTAAGGCTGACTACCCAATGCAACATGTTAATGCAACAACTTTATTTTTAACTCTGTCCTTTTTAAATTCTATTTACAACTTTTATACATAAACAAAAATTCTTAAGGGTGTAATTATATACAAAAATAGCTTATAACTAGCAGTACATCAATTACATCAATTAACTTAATATTATTATTATTATTATTATGACAAAAATAGTCATAAACATAGCATTAAAATTTCGTGAGAAGCAGGTGCAGCTTACTTTTTGTGTTACCGTTGTCGGTGTTGCATTGTACCATAATACCAATAGTAACGAACATATTTGTGCCCACGGAGCTGTTCATTTTACTGTGCGGTTGTTACGCTCCACAATCCTGTTTCCTGATGATCTATATGCACATATGTTTGAAAATTCACTGGATATAAATACTGCTCTTATATCTATCAAAAGTTCTTGTGGTGGGCCATGCTCCCTAAATATGTATTCCAATTGACTTCCTGCACTTTTGGTATCTCCGCAAGGCAACTTTCTCCAAACTGCAAACCAACTTGGTTTAACAAAGGTTTAATGCACCAAATGATTTACAACTTTTTTAGAGCCCCTAAAGATTGTTTTTGAAACATATTTTTCTTTTTTGCTTCCAACGTGTGTACTCTTAAGTAGTTTAATGCATCCTATAAATTGATCTCAAATATTTTCACATGAGCTCATAGCTTCTTTAAAGTTTTACCTGGCAATCCAGTTATGAACGTTCTTAGCAATAATTCTTTGCTTTAAATATTGGCTATTCATTTTCGCCATGGATGCCATACTGCCAAAATAGCTTTTTAATATGACAACTTTTTTTACTTTTATTTTTAATTCTGCTCTTTTTAAATTCTATTTACAACTTTTATACATAAACAAAAAAGAGTGTGTAATTATATGTAAAAATAGCTTATGACTAGCAGTAATAAATTACATAAACTTAATAATATTATGAGAAAAACAGTCATAATTATAACAATAAAATTTTATAAAGATTAGCCATTATCACAAAAAAAAAAAATAAAAAAAAATACATATATATATATATATATATATATATATATATATATATATATATATATATATATATATATATATATATGTATAATATATATATGTATATATATATATATATATATATATATATATATATATATATATATGTAACAAAATATATATATATATATATATGTAACAAAAGTATATATATATATATATATATATATATATATATATATATATATATATATATATATATATATATATATATATATATATACACACAGTCAGCGAAATTCAAAGGATTTCAGGTCGGCACGTTTATGCCGACCTTAGCCGACGTCAGGTTGGCAAAATAAAATTTGATTTTTTGCTTTCTGTTATGATGGGGGTAATGACTAATTAATTATAAAAGGATTGCTTTATAATAGGATAGCTTCAGACAATAATATTTTAAAGAATGCAACAATTAAATTTTGTGTAGTAAATTAAGTATATATCAAGTTTATGAATTAATGATTTTTTAGTTTCGAAGTTGCTTTTTTTTAAAAAAAAAAAGGTCATAGTTTATTTATTACATTTTAATTGGTTTTTTATATTGCTCATAGAAAGAACGACATTAAGAAATACAAATTTAGTTTATGTGCTGTAGGCGAAGATTTTGTTTAAAACAGCAAATGGTTTAACAAAATGAGTTGACAAATTACATTCCGTTGTTTAACCTCTATGAGAAAAAAATGAATGAATTTTTTGTTTTAATAAAACATGTCAAACTTAAAAAGCAAGTAATTAAATAAATAAATTACAAACTAATATTTAACGAATATTATATATTTTTTACATAAATTTCAATTTGCCGACACTTTAGGATATTCAGTTCAGCAGGTGTATGCTGTCCTAAAGCAAAGATAGGTCAGCTTTTGCGTTGGCATTGCCGAATGTTGACCTGATTTTTGCAGACTATCTATCTATATATATATCTATCTATATATATATATATATATATATATATATATATATATATATATATATATATATATATATATATATATATATATATATATATATATATATATATATATACACACATAAATTTGTAAAAACACTTATCTAATTATTATTTTCTTCTACAGCTTGTTTCTCTATCAGTCGGATCATCAGGAAGAATCTTCCTGATGATATATATATATATATTATTATTAATAATATATATATATATATATATATATATATATATATATATATATATATATATATATATATATATATATATATATGTATATATATATATATATCAAGCCTTGCTGGGAAGTGCATGTTGTCGCAAGCCTTGTTCGTCCACTCTTAAAGTAATTTATTTAGACAACCAGACCATGTTTATATATAAAAAGCATTTTAAGAATTCGCGGCAAAAAAAAGCTATGAGAAACAAGAGAATAAAACAGCAATACTTGAAGAAAAGTACCAAAGACTATACGAAATAGAAAATCTAAATAAAATAAGCTAAAAAAATTTGAATATTAAAAAAGGAAAATTGTTGTCAAAAAAATATACCTAAATATTTTACTCTTTTTGTTATCTTATTTTTAGAGCATTTGTTATTTTCCACTACCAAAATTGATACAAGTTGAGGAAAAAAGTAGATAAGAATATAACGAAAATAAAGTTTTTTTTGATATACAATCTTTTTGTGACTTTTTTCAGTCAATATATTAAGGAAATACTTTATTATTTGCCCTAGAAACACAGGCAATTTTTAAATTTGTTTTTCTAATGTCTTTGTCTGTCTACACTTTACTGTTTTTATCAATGCTCAGCAAAGCAAGAATACTAATTGCTATTTATTTGTAAAAAAAAATTTTTTTAACAAATTTTTCATGTAAAAAACAATGAAATGATGCTCCAAAATCTTGTGAGCTAGTTTATTTTTAATTTACTGAACTTTTTTAACGAAATTTGTAAGAGCTTGTTTAGAACTTTTATTTTAAGTTTTTAAATTTTTTTAAACAGATCAATTGGTATGTTTATTATCTCTAGTAATTCGTTATAAGTTTAATAATTAAGAAAAGTAAATAAATAAATATATATTTTTATAAAATTTCTATACAGCTTTTGTATTCTCTTTTTTAAAGTTGTTGTTGAAAAAATATCTTTTATAACAAATTAACAACAATTGACAGTTTTGATATGCAATTTTATTACGATTTTTATCAGTCCATATAATTAAGAAACTAATTTGCTATGTACACTAGAACTATAAGAAATTTTGTTATTTTTTTTTTTCTTACATTTATTACGTTTATTTGTTTATTCGTTTTGATGTACTTTCGCTTTTAAAAATATTTTTGCTATATTTGATGTTTTTTCTCAATGTTTATATAATAGAAAAATAAGAAAATAAATTGTTATTATTTTTTATTTTTTAATTTGAAGTTAAAACTAATTAAAAAATATTATTTGAATAATAAATTTGTAATGACGGAATATGTTAAATTAAGAATAACTTAGTTTCTTTAGTAAATGTATTTACTGCATTTGATGTATGTTTAAAATTAATTCTTTTATATTGCAAATAATACAAATTACTAGAGATAATGAACATAACGATTGTTCTGTTTAAAAATGTATTTAAAAACTTAAAAGTTTTAAATAGGCTCCAAAAAATTTCATTAAGAAAGTTCAGTTAATTAACAATGCACTAGCCCACAAAATTTTAGAGCATTGTTTTATTTTTTTATAAATAGCAATTAGTTTTCTTGCTTTCCTGTGCATTGATAAAAACAGTCAAGTTAAGCAAAGACATTTGAAAAACAAATTTGAAAACTGTGTGTGTTTCTAGCACAATTTATAAAGTATTTTCTTAATATATTGACTGAAAAAAGTCACAAACAATTTTTATATCAAAAAATATTTTTATTTTCATTATATTCTTATCTACTTTTTTCCTTGACTTGTATCAATTTTGGTAGTGGAAAATAACAAACGCCCTCAAAGCAAGAAAACAAAATAAGTTAAATAGGTATATTATTTTTTTGACAACAATTTTTTTTTTATTATTAAATTTTTTTAACTTATTTTATTTAGATTTTCTCTTTTGTATAGTTTTCAGATCTTTTCTTCGAGTATTACACAAACCATTCGATAACCACTAAATTACCTTGCACCAATAGCAGAAACCCCAACAGATTCCCATTTCCATTTATATACTCTTGCATGGTCGTTTTTAAGTTTTTACTATAAAATGTAAGTTATAAAAAAAAAATTGTTTTAAAGACCGAAAAAAATTTAAAAACTTTTTTTTAAATATTTTTTATATTATTATTTGATTGACTGCCTGCCCAAACCAAACCTTCAGTCAATGTAGCAACAATCTGTTGTGAATCAGGCTATAAGATAGTCGATGTAGCTGCACTCCCTTGATTTAATTTTAGATTTAATTGCATAAAAACTATGGTTTTTTAATTAAAAATTAAAAAAGTGCATTTTACAAGTTTTTTATAAAGAAAATTTTTATATTATTTTGCTTCTTTTGAGTACCAGGTTGACCTGCTTCAAAAAACTTTTTTTTTTAAATATTAAGACCCCTTTGAATAGTAAAATTAATTGAGCTGTTACTAAATATTACAATAATGCTTTGAAGTTTTGATGATTTATTTCATCAATTAACAATATTTAAACATTTAGCCATTAAACTATTAAATTTTTTTTTTGAACTGGATTGTGGATCTTTTGAATCCACCTCTTTGATAACACTAAAGTTATTAATCATATATTTATTTTCATGATGATGCTTAGACGCAAGTTCATTTCATTTGTTTAACAATGTCAATGTCTTTAATAAGGAGAACATATATGAACCTGTATATGAAAAGGCTTTCCATAAATTCAGATCTGTGCCAAAACTGGTCCATGCATTCACCAATTACCATATAGCTTTGTTGCAATCTCTTTTTTTCTTTTATATTACTTTTGAATATTACTTTTGGTTATTTGTCTTTCTGGCCAATTTTAAAGTTAGTGCATGTACATTTCGAACAGCAACTATCAAAATAGTAAATATAACTCTAAATCTCAAATCTCTGTTTGTATGGAATACTGTTGCCATATCTGGGGCACATCTTCTAATGATGTCCTTTCTCTTTTAGACAAGGTGCTAAAAATGTATTGTAAACATTGTTGGACCTGTTCTTGCAGCCAACCTCCATCCATTATCACATCGTTGTAATGATGCTTCTCTTTCTCTTTTTTATAAATACTATAATAGGCACTGCTCTAAATAGCTAGCCTCTCTTTTGCCATCTACTAAAATTCATTCTCGTGTTACTTGTCCTTCAATTAAGTCTTATCCTTTTTACGTGACTGTTCCTAAGTGCTTCAAAAATTCTTATTCGTCTAGTTTTTTCCTTGAACAGTTTCTTTGAAATTCCATCAGTTTCTTGAAATTCCTTCATCTTGTTTTCCTGATTCATATGATTCGCAGTCTTTTAAGTCATCAGTTAATTGTTATCTTGCTCTATAAATTTCATCTTTTCCCTTCCAGTAACTTCCAATCTAACTTCTAATAGTTGTTGCTTGTTGTTGGAAGTGAATGAAAAAAAAAAAAAAAAAAAAACATTTTAAATTTTGGCATATAATAATAAGTATTTTTAGCTTGCATTTGTATTACCTGGATTCATATCTGTTTCATACAGATAATATTTAAAGCATATGTTAGTTATGAGAGTCTCTGTGAAATTAGCTAATTTTGTTACATTAACATAATATTGTAAATAAATAATGTTAATGTTTTATTAGTAATCTTAAATTTTTTTCTTCTTCTAAATTATTTATAACCTATGTTTCCAGTAACAAGACATAACATTGTTAGTTAGGAGAGTCTCAGCGAAATTTTTGTTGAAAAACTAATTTTGTTGCAGTAAATTTGTTGTTTTTTCTGCCCAAGTTTTTATAATCTGGTAAATTTGAGTTAAGTTACCCCTTGTACCCAGGCTCTAAAAAATCATAATACAAAATATGATTGTTTCTTCATGCCTCTTTTATGGCAATTCCATAAAAAATAGTCTTCAAACCACCATCCCTATTTCATTGAATAAAATTTATTTAAATGTCCCAATGGCTACATTGGGAGTATTTCAAAAAAATTAAGTATCACCATTGAAAAAATTCTTGATTTGCCCATGGAAACAGCAAAATGCTGTTGTTTTTGTTCACATGGGTTTGAGAAAAATTTATTGTGCCCATTGTCAAACAGATTGCTGTAAACACTCTAATATCATTTGATGTAACATCAACCCATAATAGTTATTGTTATTGATATGTTCCAGTGATAAGTTTTCGCATTAAAACATTCATAGAAATGAATTCAGAGAGATGAAGGAAAAAAGGTTTAAAATTTCTATCATAGTTACAGATTTTCTGAAGGTTGGTCCTGGTGTTACTATAAATGAAATAACAATCCTAATGGTTTTTTTTTCATTCTATGTAGTTTTTATTGATAGCAGGCTTATAGTTTTGTTACATTAAAAATATCTGTAAATAAATATCTCTACTCTCCTAAATAATATGTCTAAAGAATTAATATTTAAAACTCAACATTAATTTTTAAAACTAAATATTAAATATATAAATAAATAAAAACTAAATGTTATAAATAAATAAACTTTCAGATTTTGATTTAAGGCGTTTTCAACACAATTTAAAAAAATTAATTTTTAGTCTTAATTTACTTTGTAATTTAGAGATCTGCCTCTGGCTTTTTTTTTTAAATTGGAAATGCTGATTTAGCTTTTTATAATAAAAACTTTGAAATTGTTTCAAGTTTTTCTAATAAAAACTTTGAAACAATTTCAAAGTTTTTATTATAAAAACTGTTTTAAATTTCTTTGTTTCTGTTGCAAATTTTTGAGTAAATTAAATATATAGTTTTTTAATTTCTAATTTTTTAGTTATTTTATATGATCAAAGGTGATATGTGCCTAAAAATAATGCTTCCTGAAGGTCCTAAAGATGTATTAATAAAGGAAGGAGAGGTAAATTAATTTTTTTTTTCTAAACAAATTTTGAAAATTTTTGTTTAGTTAAATATCTTAAATTTATAAAAAAAATAATAATAAATTTATAAAAAAAAAGTTTTTTGTTTATAGATTTTTTTGCTTCCATCATGTATTCCTCACTCCCCTCAAAGATTTCCAAATACCATAGGTCTGGTAAGTTTTGATATATATATATATATATATATATATATATATATATATATATATATATATATATATATATATATATATATATATATATATATATTATTTTATATTGAGCAAACATTTTTTATGTTCATTAGTTGTTAATGATCATTTAATGATTGGTAAGTTTTTTGACTAAATGAGTGGTAAAAAGACTTTTAATAAGATTTTTAAAAAAAATATCAAATCAAAAATCTTAAAATAAGTAAAACAAACTTTTTTTCTTTATTTGAGGTATATATATATATATATATATATATATATATATATATATATATATATATATATATATATATATATATATATATATATATATATATATATATATATATATATATAAAATAAAGAAAAAATATCAACGCTGTCGAAAATGGTCTAGAATAGCCCCTGATATATATATATATATATATATATATATATATATATATATATATATATATCACCGTTAAAGAATATTTACGATTACAAAGTACATTAATACTTTTATTGTATTTTATTTTATTTACATGACCGGGGCAAAGAGAAGACTATAGTGGTTGTATCACTAAGCCACATAGTATATACCGTAAGATACATAGCTTGTAAAAACCTTGTAACATAAAATACGAAATCAAAAGATAAAGTTATTTAGTACCATTAAAATTTACTAAAATTTACTTTTTTTAGTATCGTTTAAGTTTACTCAAAATATAGTTTAATAGGGATTAACTAACAAACCAAAAACAAACAAACAAACATAAAAAACTAATTTTAATTTTTATTAATTTATATATTAAGCTCACTTAGTTATTTAATGCAAATTAATTGAGAAAAAGCATTTAGATAAGAAAAGGAAAAAAGATAAAAAGTGAATGGTTACACACACATTCATGCTCATATATATAATAATAAAGTATATACATAAAAAAATAAAAACTTTAATTCAAACACACACATGAATTTGAAGTAACATGAATTTGAGAATTTTTTTTTTACATCCTTATAAATAAGTAATAAACAATTTATAATCTTGAAAAAATTGTTTCACAATTTTTTTTTTTGGTATATTTAAAGTTAATAAATATATTTATTATGTTAAAAACAAAACAAAACAATCTTATTTAAACGCCAAAGAAAAAATGTAATTCATTGTCATTTAGTAAAATGTTTTGTTTAAGTTTTGTTTTAAATTGATTAAGCGAAGAGAGTGTTTTAAGATCTTCATTTAAAAGTGTATTCCATAATATAGATCCTCAGTTTCTTATTGAGTATTGTATACTGAGTAATTTTTGGTTTTGGATTGACTATAGTTATTTTTTGAAAATCTTGCACTTTATTATTTTTTTTCTAAAAAAGAGTTAAATAATAACAGTGCTATTTTTTTTTTATCAATTATAAAAAATAAGAATATGCTAAAGATTTAATTTAAAAATATTTTTATTTCTAAAAAGTATTTTTGTATGGGAGACATGATTTTCATTTCTAATAATCCTAATAGCATGCTTTTGTTTGCAGAGAAGTTTCCTTAGTTTTGTAATGTTGGTACTGCACTAAGCAATTGTTCCATAGTTAAGATAACAATGTATAAATGAAATGTATATGTATTTCAAACAAGATTGATTTAATTATACCAATATTTTTTGAAATTTTGTTCTCAATTAAATTAAAAAAAAAAAATTTCTGATTGCTTCTTATATTAACATAAAGAATCGAGAGCGAGTTGTTTTCCATTTCTTCAATGATATTTTTCAAATATACTTTATAATATAATTTACATTATAATATAATATAATTTTTTATTAAGTCATTATTATAGAAAATATTATCAGGATTAAAATGTTTTTTAAAGTATTGATTTTTTATTTAGTAATGAATTAATTTCAAAGTTTTTTATAGCAGAATTGTCAGCCATTTTAAATGGGTATTATTAAAATAAAATGTTACATAATTCTTATATATTTTTTCCAAAGTTTTTTTTTTTATATACAATTTTGTTACTATTTTGCTGTTGTCAACTTCTGAGCACAAACTATTTTAGTTTGTGGAATAAAGATTATAAATAGAGATTTTTTGCAAACAAATAATCTCTATTTATAGTCTTTATTGCACATAGCTTGTTATTTCTTTTTTTTTTTTTGAAAATGTTATACAGGTAGAGGGTGGTAGGTAACATATGGTGAGGGGGTGGTAGGTAATAGATATCAGAATATTTCCACAGTTCTTCTGTTAAAATTTTTTTTTTTTTTTTTCTAATCTGAAATTTATTAATTTGCATTTAAAAAAAAGTTCATTTTAAAAAAATTTAAAGAGTAATTTTAAAACAACTTTTTTTTAAATCGACAATTTTCCACGTGATTTTACAAAGGTTGAACATGAACAAAGTTTACAATGCATCATTAATGTAATAAATTTAATAAAAGTTTTAGCAATTGAAATGAAAATTGTAATTCCTAATAATAATACTTTAAAAATAATTGTAATTATTTGATTGTTATTGAAAATGTAACAATAATAACAGCAGTAAACATACATAAAATAAATACATAAAAACATTTTTTTGAAAAAAGAGAAAATGACTGCTTTAAATTATTACTGATGAGCTCTTTCACATTTTGCTTGGCATATTCACCAAGCCCAAACAGACTACGATGAAGAAAAGGAAAAAGATGACACACTAAAATGTAAACTTTCCAGCTAATATTTTATTCATAATTTAACTTTTCCAGAAGACAATACTGCAGTTTTTCAAAAATGTTTAAATAAAATCTATAACCGATACTCTAATCACTAAAAACTTACTACAGGTTGTAGAAATATTATATTTAGTTGCATAGAGGCTGTATAGCCAATCCCATAATTTTTTTTCAAAAAGCAATTTTTATGTGGAGTGACTAATGAGTGGTGTAGAGGTCATATTTGTGAAAATTTTTTGTACTTTTTAATTTTTCTTGATAGAAGTATTCACGCCAATTGTTCAAAGTTATGCTTTTTATGATTTTTAACTAAACTTAGAGCAATTTCCAAGCATTGGCGCAAATAGATTCTGATGTCAAATCTAGTTAATTTGTTCAAAAATATTTTAATGAGTTCCTGTATCAAAAAAAAACACTGCTTATTAATTGGTAGATAAATTAACACTTTGGCTATTGTAAATTGATTTTTTGTTGATCTTTATACTTTTTTTCAGTCATTAAACAATTTTTGTAGTTTTTACTTCATTTTGGTATCAAATGGTGTTTTTTTGAAAAAAAAAATACTATTACTAGAACCTTGGATCAAGCAATTCCAAATCCAAAATGGTTACTTTAAAAGATTGGGTAAAGGACTTTTGATCTTTTGTTGTAAACTAAACTAGATCAAAACGTATCAATGTGATTCAAAAATATATATACACATTTTTTCTGTGGTTATTTTAGGTGCTCCAAGAAGATCTAACGGTCGCATCACAGAGCACCGCAGAAGAGCATATAACTTGGAAGTTTATGTTTGCTTCATTTTGAAAAAAAGCCTAGAATAGGCATCGAACCACAGATTAGTGAAGGATTCAGCATTTTTTAGTGTTTGAGATAGCTAACAGACATGGCACAAACTCCAAACATTTATGTCTGGAGTTTGTGCCATGTCTGCATTTATTTTTGCATTGTATGTTTATACTTATGTCAAATAATGAGGCTTTGTAAAATATTGTGATGGTTTGAGGCTGGGAACAAAAAAGCCCTGAAATTGCATCCCTCCTGTGCAAAACATGAGAGCAACAAATTGATTTTATTTTTATTTTATTTCTACTGATTTTAAGAAAAGTCTGTCATTAGAAAAAAAATTAGTTTTGAGTTATTTTCTTTGTATTTTACATCTGATTTTAAACCATTTTGCAAACTATTGTTTTTAAACAATTTGTTACTTTATGACAAACTATTCTTAAATAATAAAACTAAAATATCAAAACTTATGAAATTAAGTTTTACTTTAAGAATTGCAGAATCAGAGAAGTTGCAGGTCAAAAACCACGATTCCATGAAGAGAGAAATTTAGTCAGCCATTCATTGATCTCTTTAAGTATTCTATTACTCAGAATAAAAACCTGCCTGATTTTAGAGAAATGAAACTTGAATTTCATAAAATTCAAGGGGTGTGAAACAGCTCCATACTTTTTAATTTTCACCTAATGGTCTGATTTTTTTTCGCAAGTTCATAATAATCTCTGCACTTCTCAGTCTAAATTTAAATAATTATAAAAAATTAAATAAATGTAAATAATTATAAAAAATTAAATAAAAAAAGTCTAAATTTAAATAATTTTAAAATCAGAAACTTATTCCTTTTGTTTTTGCAAAAAGGTTTTTTAAAGTGAAGTAGTTTTATCTTTACCTTATTTTTTAACCTTTTATGGTTTTATGATATAAATAGTTTATTCTCTGGCTTAACAGTTTTATTTACAGCTACAGCTATATAAAGCTCTCTGAAAGTTCCTTTACCTGATTAAAATTTGAAAGTATGAAAAGAATTTGTTACTAAAGCATTTATATTATTATATTTGTAAACCATGTAAACAATGCACTAATATTGAATTAATATTACAATAATGTATACAATAATAGCAGTAATATCTAATATATAATAACACTAATATCTATATATATAATTCTAATAGTATATTTTATATTTATATTTAAAAAATTGTAAGCATAAAACATACATTTTAAATTTGTTTAAGAATACCTATTGAAGAAAAGTAAAAAGGACATATCTTTTTAATAATTCAATGATCTCGATTTTACCTTCTATCAATGATCTCGATTATTATTTACCATCTGTTTAGATATTTTACTAAAACTAGATGATGTTTTAGAATTTAAAAATTATTTTAAAAATAACTTTACTAAATCCAATAATAGTAATTAAAAAAAAAAAATTTGCTGTTTCAGAAGAGCACAGTGGATTAAAGTAGATTTTTTTAATTTTTTAAAAACGTAGTAACAGTTATGCAAAAAAAAATTATTTTTTATTTTTTGAATAATAAACTAAAACTTTAAATATTGTAAGAATAAAAATGGAGCAGTATTTACTTTTTTCATCATTTTATGTTAAATTAAATTTTTTTTATTACAAAATAATTGATTTACACTTGTATTATTAAAATTTTTAAATACTATTATAGCGTTATTACCACTTGTGTTGTTTAAACAACTTTAATGTATGCTATGTACATTTTTTTAATGTTTACAATTTCATTTCTAGTAAAATTATAAAAAGTTTTATAATTAAAATCAATTAAACCTAACCTTTATATGGTTAAACCTAACCTTTATATGGATAAACCTAACCTTTATATGGTTAAACCTAATCATTATATGGTTAAACCTAACCTTTATATGGTTAAACCTAACCTTTATATGGTTAAACCTAACCTTTATATGGTTAAACCTAACCTTTATATGGTTAAACCTAACCTTTATATGGTTAAACCTAACAATTATATAGATAAATATGAGAAATATATTTTGTATATAGGCAAGCATATATTTTGTATATAGGCTAATTTTAAGCATACATGTTTTTAATGAATTTATTATATTTGTTATAATTTATTATTATAAATAAATAGTTTATTATTGTAAATAAATTTGTAAAAAATAGTAAATCTGAAATTATTATATTTGTAAATAATGTGCATATTTTATGTATTTGTAATTTAATTTTTTATTGTGACTGTTTAGTTGCTGATGTTTATGTTTTTAATGTACAGATCTAATTCTTTTCTATCATTTTATACATACTGTGAATATGTGTTTTTTTTAAATAAAACATTTTCTCACTTTGTCTTATAATAATAATCATTGCTCTGATTAACTTTTAAATATTTTTCTCTTTAGGTGGTTGAGCGAGATCGTTCTGATGTGTGTGATGTGTTAAGGTGAACTTTTATGTTTAGGTTACTATTAAATTTATGCATAGATGTGAAGTATTTATGCATATAATGTGAAGTAAATTATTATGTTTAATGCTAGAAGGTATAAGTCTTAGATTTTTAGAGATAAATTAGTAAATCAGAATTTTAAACAGGCTATTTGAGTCATTCCATATCAAATGATCTATTGATACGCAGGGCACTACTTCAAATTTGCTTCAAATTTTGAACACCCACACTTTTTATGAAGAAAATTCTGAAAGTTTCAGCTTAATTGACCAAACTGTTCAAAAGATGATTGGTTCAATTGAAAAATTGGAAAATTTCTAATTGATCTAAATGGAAAAATAAAATAATTTGGGAAGTGATTCTATCATGCGTAATACTCTTGTGACACAGGAGTGAAATACAGTTTATAATTTTTGTACTATACTTTTGTTTATGGAGTTTTAATATATTGTAATAATGTTATGTTTTGATATAAAAATTTCATTAGATTTTGTATCACTCTATACTCATACACATGAATAAACACTCCATATAAACTCGTTTTTCCTGAAAACATCATTCTTAGATATCCAGCCCTTGGAATTAAGGTCAGCATTCAGCAATGCTGACCCTAATACTGTGCTCAATGCTGACCTCAAACACTTGAAAGTGTTTGAGGTCAGCAAAAAATTGCCGATCATCTTTCTATGTTATATGGTAAGACCTTTGTTGTAAATTTCTTATGCTGATTTGATGCTGACCTCTCAAAGATTGAGGTCGGAAAATTATTGTCGACCTCATTTTTTCTAATTCTGAGGGTTGGATATCTAGTTTAAATTTTATAATTTTTTCAATAATTGTAATAATAATTAGATATAAATTTGTTGATGTTAAATTGTTTTCAAACTCAAAAACTCATGTTTTTAACCTTTTTTTTCAGCTAACTTAAAGTGTCTTTTTTTAGTTTAATAAATCTTTACTAGCTGTCAAGACCAATACAATACAGGTCATGGTAAGTCTGTTTCCACGCCAGACTATTTATTAACTTGTTCTTAATTTGGTCTTGTCTATATTGTAATCACAAAAGGTGATAAAAGTATAAATGGTTTCCATTCACATATAGAAGTATAACGTTATTATAAAAAAATAAAGCAATAATAGCCAATATATCCATACAAAATTATAATTCCAAAAAGAAAAAATATAGAAATTTAATTGAGAAGCAAAAACACATTTTTCTTGAGATAAAATAAAAATATAAACTTTAAAAAAAATACATGAAAATATTATATTTAGCATAAAAAGTACCAAAAATAGTTGTAAAAGCAATTTGAATTATGATATTGAATTATGTTTCAATATCGTTTCTAAAAGCCAAAACCAATATCGTTTTCTAAAATTGTTTCAATATCGTTTCTAATAGCCAAAGCCAATATCATTTTCTTAAAGCCGAAACTTCTTTTTGGCTTTTAGAAAACGAATAACATTCAGAACATTTCTTATATTCTGCTATGTAGGAACTTTCAAAATTTAGACATAATAGAAGGAATTCAAAAATAGAACAAAATTATTATTGTAAACACTTATTAAACATTGTGTTATACTCTATTTATTTGAAAACTCAAAAATGTGACTAAATAGATAACAAATAAAAAATATTGTGAGATGTTGTTTTTCTTTTGTTTTAAGATTTATTGTTGCAAATTTGGATTAACAACTCCTTTTAAAAAAGCAAAACTAAAAATAAGTAATTACAATAAGATAAACCTTTTGTTTTTATTTGAAAAGTGAATCCTAGGCATTTAGTGAATGACTATATGTAGTCAGTTTCAATAATGAGACTACCCAATAATCATTTTTTACTATAGACAATGTCGTGAAGGTAAGCCAACTTGTCTATCAACACAAGACAACACAACAATAACATCACAAAATTAACAAATAACAACATATTACAGTAAACTCTCAATTATTCAAATCTCCAAGAGACCAAGAAATTAGCTTGTTAGAAAATGCTTATTAGAGAATGCTTGTTAGAGAATTGTTAGAGAATGTTTGTTAGAGAACGCTTGTTAGAGAATGTTAGAGTTATTGGTAGTATTATCCATAAATAATGGTTCAACTTATGTTTTTCAATAAGTTCAAGTTATCCAGAGTTTATAGTATATATTTTAACTATTAACAGCACACACATAGAAACACTTACAAAAATATAAACCTATATAACCTTATATAACACATGATAAAAACACACATTATAAGACACATAAATATGACACATAAAAACCAATTAAATCAATGTTATAAGTCAAGTGAGTGCAACAACTAATATATTGACTTATTACTATATATTGTAGACAGACTTATATTATTAATATATTGATTGATTAAACTGGAAGAAGCATCTGTAACTGTATTAAAAATAAAAATGTACAATAAAAGCAATCAATTAATATATTAATTCAAGTATGAGTAAGTACAATAACTTAGTCATTGTACCAGAAGAAGCAGCAGTTGGAAGCAGCGTAAAAAAAAATAAATTTAAAGTACAATAAAAGCAAGCAATCAATGTATCAAGTCATGTATGAGTAAATACACACATACAACATGAGTAAATACACACAAATACACAATGAGTAAATACACACATAACAACATACATGAGCAACAACATACTTGTTGTACCAGAAGAAGAATCAGCTGGAGCTATATAAAAAAAACTAAAAGTACAATAAAGACAATCAATGTTGATCCCATTACTGTTGAGGCAGCACTTGTTGACGCTGTTGCTGTTGCAAGAACTGTTCTGGCTATAGGAAATATTTATTAAAATAATAATATATCTATATAAAATATAAATATATCCAATTAAAAATTACAAATTTTATGATTACACTGATTGCAAACAGATTTTTGTGTGTGTTTTATCATAACAGTACACCGCTTGGCTAACAAAGACAACAAAGCTAAGTCACATTATAGCAAAGTAAACTTGGTTAGCAAGTACTGAGCCAAGTATTTACATATTTTTGACATATTAATACTTACAAAATGTAAACCCATATCACCTTAATGCATACAAACACATAATAAATAACACATGCATTACCACATCATATGACACATAAAAATACTTAAATATATAAATTAAGAAAAATATATTAATATAGAACAAATACAACCTTATTTTTGCAATATTTGTTCAATGACACACCTTACAATGCATGTTTATCAACATTAAAAAACAAACCATCAAACAACCTGGTTTGTTATAAAATAAAAGCAAACTGTTTTTCTGTAATTTTTATTAGTGATTGATATTTCCAAAGTTATTTAAAATCTATCAGAAAATCTATAACAACTGGGTTTTTAGTAACAACAATCGGGTTTTTAGCAACAACTGGTTTCCAACTACAAAATTTGTTTTGTTAAATATAAAAAACATGGTGTTTAATAATAAATCAATAATTGTTTATAGATAAGTACATTTGTAAATACAACATTGTTTGTGTTGCATTTTTTAAATGACATACCTTGTAATGAAAGTTCATCAATTTTAAAAAATTAGCTATTAAAAATTAGCTATTAAACAAGCAACATAGATGCAACATAGAGTTAACCATGTCAGAAGCAAGGGTGCAACATAGAGTTAACCAAGTCGGAAGCAAGGGTTTTTGAGATAAACACCAACTTTATAAAAGTTTGACTTTGTTCAAAAGTTTGATCTTATTCCAAAGTTTGACTTTTGTTAAAAATAAAAAACACATTAATATACATTTGAAAAGGTCGTGTTTTTTATTCTTTAGAAATCATTGATTTCTAAAGAATAAAAAACACAGGTTAATATACATTTGAAAAGATCATGGTCATTGATTTCTAAAGAATAAAAAACACAGATTAATATAACTAATTTAAAAAAAGGTTTACTTATTGTTGTAGTTGCTTTTGTAGTCTGATTTATTATTGTTGTAGTTGTTTTTAGTCAAATTTATTTTCTATTAAAATTTTATTAAAATGATCTAATTTGAATTTTTAAAATTTTTTATTCTTTTTAATGCTAAAAACTTTTAAAAGTATTTTATGTTTCATTAACTTATTTATAGTATTAAGTATGAAAATTTAATATGCATGTCATTTTTTATTTTTTAGGTATTATTGCGATGATGGAATCACAATTTTGTGGGAAAAATATTTTCATTTACACAGTCTAGTTAAAGATTTCCCAATCATTATCAAAGAGTAAAGTTTTTATTATTATTTTTTTTTTAATTACTAAAATAAATTTTTTTATTTAGATAAAATTCCTTGTTTATTTCATACAACCTGTACAACAATAATTAAGTATTAATTTTGAGAATTAAAAAGATAAATAGAAATGAAAAAGTAAATGAAAAGATTTTATTAAATGTGGAAGGTAGTTCACCTTACACATTTAAAAATAGTTTTTCTCTTGATTACTGGTTGGACTAAAAACATAAAAATAACACAAATAATGGTTGTTTATATTACATTCTTTTAAAAGTTGGTTGTTTATATTACATTCTTTTAAAAGTTGGTTGTTTATATTACATTCTTTTAAAAGTTGGTTGTTTATATTACATTCTTTTAAAAGTTGGTTGTTTATATTACATTTTTTTAAAAGTTGGTTGTTTATATTACATTCTTTTAAAAGTAGGTCGTTTATATTGCATTATATTAAAAGTTGGTTGTTTATATTATTAAATTCTTTTAAAAGTTGGTTGTTTATATTACATTCTTTTAAAAGTTGGTTGTTTATTTTACATTCTTTTAAAAGTAGGTTGTTTATATTACATTCTTTTAAAAGTTGGTTGTTTATATTACATTCCTTTAAAAGTAGGTTGTTTATATTACATTATATTAAAAGTTGGTTGTTTATATTATTAAATTCTTTTAAAAGTTGGTTGTTTTTATTACATTCTTTTAAAAGTTAGTTGTTTATATTACATTCTTTTAAAAGTTGGTTGTTTATGTTACATTCTTTTAAAAGTAGGTTGTTTATATTACATTCTTTTAAAAGTTGGTTGTTTATATTACATTCTTTTAAAAGTTGGTTGTTTATATTACATTCTTTTAAAAAGTTAGTTAGTTAATTTGTTAAAGCATTTGTTGTTTTTGAATTCCATCTTTTTTGAATTCCGTCTTTTTGTTTTCCTAACACATACAATTTATTGTTTTTTAAATCTTCTTAAATGCATTCTCGGCTTTTAGCTTTCTTTGTTTTCTGTTTACTCCCTACTAAATTAGTGGCTTAACTTGATTAGTGGTTGCTTGCAGACTGTTTCGGAGTTAACTTGTTGAAAAAAAGGTTCTTTTCAAATTTGATTGGTTAATTAATTATAATATCAGAATTAAATTTTATCGAAACTTTGTTGTCTGTTTTTGTAGGATTTTATTGGTTTCAATAAATTTATTTTTATCAAACAATTATTAACATTTAATATAGTAAAGGTAATTAACAAGGTCTTTAGTATTACTGACCAGCCATGGCGCAGTGGTAGCGCACTTGCCACAGATACTAAGGATCCATGGTTCAAACCCCACCTCTGGGCAAGTTTTGTGACATTGGTTAGGAAGGAGGCGTGAACTTCCTATTAAGTGCTCATCTGCGGTACTCTGTGATAAGACTGTTAGGACTTCTTGGGGCACCTTAATAAATAATTAAAAAAAAAATTAGTAAATCAATATAACCCTTAGACTGCAGCAAGCCACGATCATGGTTTTTCCGTTAAAGTGCGGCAAGCCACGATCATGGCTTTTAAAACTGATCTTTTAACTTATGACCTTTAATGCAAAAAATTATTGCTTTTCTCAATATCAATCATTAATTATACAATAAGGGCTATAATTTTTTGTTTATAAATTTTGTAAATGTAATAAAATGAAAAATGGCATACAAAATCTCAAAAAAAAAGTTTTTTTCCATTTTAATTTTTTTTAGTTAAATTTTTCTAAATATCTTTTAATTTTATCAAACAGCCAAAGGATTAAAGATTAAAGTAAAATCTGATTTATAAAACTGTAAAGTTACTGAAATTACTTATCAATATTTGCTTTTAGGAACCAGATTTCACAATCTGGTGAATGTAAAGCCAGGGCAATATTGTAAAAAAAAATTAGATATCAGTTTCAATTTTTTTTAATGAATTCAATGCATTTTTTTAAATTATAAGTTCATTACAATTTTATTATTGTGAATTCATCTCAATTTTGAGATTATTTAGCAATGCAAGATACATTTTTATTTTTATGTTTTAAACTTGATTTGTTTGAAAGTAATTTTTTCTTAGAATCTTTAGAATTATCAATCAACAATCATGAATTAAAATTTTAGATTCAGTTTTAAAGTTTTAATGACAAGCTTGTCATACAAGCTAACTATCATACATTGTTTTCTAATTGTAAACCATTATACTTAAAATCCATAATTCTTTGTTTTTTAAATCCATCAGCCCTCTTGAATCCATCAAAATAATTTAGTAAACTTTAAACTTAAAATAATTTAACAAACTTTTTAATTTATAAAATTAAAGTAACTTTAGGGAAGAAAATGTCTGTTGATGAATTTCTGCAACCTAATCATTCATCTGCAACCTAATCATTCATCTGCAACCAATCATTCATCTGCAACCTAATCATTCATTCATTCATTGCTTTGCACCTCTTCTTTATCTTCTTCTTAAATATTTATTTTTTTCAATTATGTGAAAATGTTATCTTCTGTATTCAAGCACAAAAGCTTTTACTACTTCTTTGCAGCTTTCAAGTCTGACTCTATACAGTTGCTTTTTTGAAGCTTTTCGAGCCTCTGTGGTTTTTTCTTTCTTCTGCAGCTTCTAATTATTCTAACTATATTTTTTTAATTGTTTTATCATTTTTAATTTTTTTGCCAAGTATCTATATTAACTTTTTCTCTCTCATGCATTGGTTGGATTCTATTACTTCTCCTAGAAATAAAGTAGAAGAGCCTTTATTACCTTTATTTCATACTTACATTATCTGCAAAAAACTTTTATTCTGATTTTTCTTCTAAATCAAATGACAACACACATCTTGATATCCAAAGAAACAGTCACTCCTTAAACATCTAAATTTTTCTAAATTTGCTTCTCCAGAAAAGTAAAAGCAAATTGTTCTCCAAAACTCAATTGTTCTATCTAAAATATCTGTTATTATTATTATATTATCTGCCGATATTGAGAAGTGAAAATTAAAAGTTTCAAGCTAAAGTAAGCATAAATTTAAAAATTGTGAATTTTTTTGATGTCATATTCAACCAAAAATTTGCCTTTCGAAAAACTGAATGATGAATTATCATATATTATTTTTAACTCAAATCACCTACAACAAATTCTAAAACAAATCCCAATTTCAATTAATAACTTGTTCAACTAAAACTTCTCTAATGAAAATTTTTTAAATTCCTCTAAATGTATTTATGAAAATGCCTTTAAAAGGAGAGTTTTTCAAAATTTTAAACTAAAAAAAGGTTGCAAAAAAGACCCTGAAAAAAAGAATACAAAAAGGAGAAATAGAACTAAAAACGCAATTTGATTCAACCCACCGAAATAGGAAAAATGTTTCTGCTAAAATAGTGTTTAAGGATAAACACTTTGAATTGTTTGTCCTAAAACCCTCAAACAAATTAACACCCTCAAACAAATTGTTAAAGCTAAAGCCAAAATATAGTTAAAGCTATAGATGCACATAAAATGCAATTAAAGCTACAGGTGCACAAAAAGTACAATTAAAGCTACAGGTGCACAAAAAATACAAATAAAGTTACAAGTGCATTAAAAATAGGGAAAGAATTATATAAGGCAACAATAATGGTTTTCTAAAAAAAAAAATTCTAAATATAAAAATTACAGTAAAATTATAATTGTAAAGAAAAAACAATAAATTGCCCAATAAATGGAAAATGTCTATATATATATATATATATATATATATATATATATATATATATATATATATATATATATATATATATATATATATATATATATATATGTATATATATATATATATATATATATATATATATATATATATAATATATATATATATATATATATATATATATATATATATATATATATATATATTTGTGTGTAAAGGTAATAAAGGCTCTTCCACTTTATCTCTAGGAGAAGTAATAGAATCCAACCAATGCATGAGAGAGACAAAATTAATATAGATACTTGGCATTAGATATAGGTACTTGGCAAAAAAATTAAAAATGATAAAACAATTAAAAAAATATAGTTAGATTAATTAGAAGCTGCAGAAGAAAGAATATATATCTGTGTGTTTTGTTTCTTCTAAAAATGTACTTGATAAACAATATATTCCGTTAACAGAAGGTAATTGGAAAAAGCGTTTTGAAAATAATGATAAAAAAATCTCAATATATTAAAAAAAAAAAATAAACAGTTATAAAGGATATTTTTAATAGTATTTCACAATTTCCACAAATGTGTGAAATTACACTTAGGTGTGAAATATTATGTAAAACGTTTTAACTTCCAGTAATATAATTTTTAGTATAAATTAAAGTTTGTTAATTTAATTATTCATATATGATGAGTCTTTATTAATGAAACACTGTGTAAAGTTCGACAAATGATTTATTATTAATGATTTATTATTGCTCATTATTTTAAGAACAATAAACAATAATAAATAAATAAAGGTTTAAAGATAGAAAATAAATAATGATAAAAAGGTTAAAATCATAAAAAGTTCAAAATTTGAAACTTATATTTTATATAAAATTATTTTTTAAATGCTCTTATAATCTCTTGACTTTTTTGAACATTTTTTTGTATTCTCCTTTCTTTTTTTTTATCGAAGTTCTGTTGTAACTTAAAACATTAAATCTTTTAAAAGTTGAATATTATTAATTTTGATAACAGCATCCTATTAAATTTTATTACGTGCTAATAAATCAGTGTTTCTGATGAAAATTATTTCAAAGTTTTATTTACCATTATTATTTATCTTCAGAATAGTTTGTAATAGTTTTTAAATTAGTTTTTTTTATAAAAGATGACAGTGTTTATTAAGATTTTTATAAGGTTGAAAATTATTTCAAATGTCAAATTTAATACCTAGATTTTTTGAATCGACTGAGTTCAAGACTGGTATTCCAAATAAAGGTGAATTTTTCTTTATTTGCTCCAAAATATTTTTAGCTGAGTCTTTTAGTGTAAAATTGTTTGAGAGATAAATAATTATTTGAGAGATAAATAATGAGAAATGAAAAGTTTTGTTAACAAGGATTTAAATAAAATTGTTGTTAACAAGGATTTAAAGTCTTAAGTAACTTTAAACTTGTTTAAATCAAGTTTAAAGTTACTTAAGACAACTAAGTTTAAATTTAAGTAATTTAAAGTGTTTTAGATATTCAAAAAAGTCATCACAAGTTTATAAATAAAATATCTATATATTAATGTCAAACTTAATAGTATTAGTAGTAGTAGTGCCCCTTCAAGCATGTTTGACACAGAACCCCTGGTAGCTATAGCAATCGAGTTAAGGGCAAGAAATAGTCACATTACTTTTATTATAAGAAAATGTAAATGAAAATGTATGCAAATATCTAACTTGAATATCTAAACTTGAAATTATATAATGTTAAAACATATTAAAACATGTATTAAGTTTAACAGTTTTACTTTCACTTAAAAACTGCATTGCGACAGCATCTTAATTTCTATCTATTTATTACCATTTTATAAAGTATTTTATTTATTATATAGTTATAATTTTCTTTAGATAATAATTCAATAATCATGGTCGAATGGTTAGCTCGCAGAGCTTCTGAACAAAAAAGCTGTTGTTCAAATCCTACTAGTGGCAAATTTTTTTAAAATCCTTTTTTAATTTTTTTAAAATACAAAATAAAACACTTTTTAAGTTTATAGATATTTTAAGTTTATAGATATTACATACATAAAAAATATGTAAAGATATTATAAGATATACCTAATAACAAGCGAAAAGATTTTAAAAAAAGCTAAAAATTTACCGAGACAAATGTGTCATTATTGAGATACTTATGTTGTTAATATGATCAGGTAATCAGTCCTAATAAGCTGCGAACATTATCTCATTCAAGTGGAAAAATTGAAACTTTAATTTTAGATTTGCCCCTTTCTTGATAATTTCTGATTGCTAAAATTATGTCATCTACTTCTTAAACCATAGAAAATGATAAATGCGGCTTTTTTGCGTATGTGATATCACTTTGTGGCAAAAAAACTTACCAGAAATAGGATTTTATCTAAATTTTTTAGGAAAATTCTTTTTATCAAAAGTATATTTAATATATTTTTATGGGATATATTTTAATAAAGAATAAATATAATATATACTATGTTATTTTATTAAAAGTATTTATTTATTATTATAATAAATGCAAATTCTTATTCCTAAAATGATATACCGGTCATATCTTTTTCTGCAATTGTATGTACCATTCAAAAAATGTAAGATAAATGCAAAATCAAACTTGGTGTTTAAAAGTTTTCTACCAAAAATTGACATCACTGTGCACAACTTTTTTGGCTTAACTTTTAGATTAGCATTTTGTAGCTAAAGCTGCATCTATAGTTTTAAATGGTCTAAAATCTTCTTTGTTCTGCCATTTGTATAGTGTTACATACAAATGTCTGTAAATGTTAACGTCTCTAACATATGTTGAGTTTGCAGGCAGTGTATGGAACAATTGTGTATAATATATCTATAAAATGAGAAAACTTCTTTTTAGCAATTAGAAATCTATTTTGCTATGTTATTTCAATCTTGCATATAATAATATATATGCAAGATTGAAAAAATTTCAAAGTTTATTACACTAAAGGGAGGTCTTAATATCAATGATATGCATTTAGGATAAAAACAAGCCTAATTATAAATCTCTTATGAGCTCCACGCATATGAAAAAGGTGTGCATGTTAATTTTTTTGCTCTTAAAGTACTTTTTCATTCCTTATTTACTTCAATATTTTTTAGTAAATTATTTTACTAAAAAATATTGAAGTAAATAAGGAATAGGTATAGAAATGATCAGTGTCGAATAGATAAGTATAGAAATGGTATTTTTGTTAAAGACCTGTAATTACCAGTCTGGAAAGCTATGATCTATATAAAACGAAAAAGTATAGAAAAGGTCAGCGTGGAATAGACTGATCAGCTAATTTATTATTTTTTGTGGTTTTGTATGTTTAATCTATTTAATTTATATTATTTTGCCAATTAAAATTAATTCAAAAGCTTTTTTAATACTTTTAAATTATTTTTTTAATTTTAACATTTTCTTTGTTTCTTTTTTGGCTTTTTATGGAAATCAAATCCATGGCAAAATTTGAACAAGTTAATTTGTCCGTATTTTGTATTTTCTTTCCTGTTTTTTTTTCTTTTCCACACACTCTTACATGCAAACACACACACACACACACACACACACACACACACACACACACACACACACACACACACACACACACACATATATATATATATATATTCACATATATATATATATATATATATTCACACACATATATATATATATATATTCACACACACACATATATATATATATATATATATATATATATATATATATATATATATATATATATATATATATATATATATATATATATATATATATATATATATATATATATATATATATTCACACACACATATATATATATATATATTCGCTTTAGTAAGTGTATATATATATATATATATATATATATATATATATATATATATATATATATATATATATATATATATATATATAACATGATATAGTGGTATATGAATGCCCAAAAATACTACCCAAGCAAAGTGCAGTTTGCTGTGGCTTGTTTTCAATTAGCTCTTTTAATTGGCTAAGATCCGACTCCAGAGGATGTCCAATCTGGGTTCATCATTCAACTTGTTATTTTCATTAAAACATTTAGACCAATTTGATGCTGCAGCATGTGGCACCTGTGCTATTGCATCGCTAGTCTTTTGACGCTAATCTTTACACCACTAATCTTTTGACTAACTTTTTTAACAGTATTCAAGCATTATTTAAAATCCTCAATCATTTTTTGTTTTGTTTTTAATACTTAAAAGTGTTTAATAAAATACAGTACACATGTGCATTTAAATATATGTTCATAATTGTTAAATATAGATGTATAATATTAGGTAGGAAAGTATTTTTTAAAATGCCTAGTTATATATACACCCCCTCCACACCCCAATTGATATAGGTAAGTAATAAGTAAGTTAATAATTGTGATTTACTCAGTAGTATATAATTTATATTTAAGTAATATATAATTTATAATTTTGATAGTTAATGCTTAGGTAATGTTGTTCTTAGTTTTGGCTTAGTATTTAAATGTTTGGCTTCGTATTTGAATGAGACTTGTCTAAATAAGGTGGAGCACCAACCGAATTGAATAACAAAAATGGTTGGATGATAAGTGATAAATTGCAATAAAGTACTTTATTACTCATACCCATTTGTGGGTCATTCAATCCGTCAATAATGGACTATCATAAAAACAATAATTCAAAACAACAAGGTTTGCAAAAAAAACTCTTTCTAATTCTTCAAAATCATTGGTCAAAATATTGGATTGGTTAAAAAGCAATAAGCATTGTTTCAAAATTAATTATAATTAACAATATATTTAACATCAGTCTCTGACCTCTTGCCAATGCTTAAGGAATGAACAAATATTTTTGGCGTAGAACTTTAAATAAAAAAGTGGCTGAGTGGGCCACCTGAAACTCACAAAGGAGCAGTACATTTGTATAGCGCTGTATTTTCTTACATTTCAGGCCAAATATATGTTCAAATGGAAACTTCTAGAAGCTTCCAGAAATTTCTGGGAATTTTAAAATCGCTCATTACTTTTTAGCTAAACCAATAGTTATTTTGAAAACTTTTCATCCCTATCCTCATAAAAGTGCTGTACTTAAGTTCCAAATATGACTCTGTCCTTTGGTATCACAGTATCACAAGTCAAGTTCATCAAGGCTCAGTGCTAGATCTTTTTTTTTCCCCTAGTAGTCAATGGAATGCTGGTATCTTGTTTTGTTGTTTTTTCTTTTTTCTTTATAAACTAGAAAAACTAGTTTTTCTTAAATAAACTAGAAATAGATAAGATCAGCAAGGCTCAACCTATTTCTTCGCACAAAGGCTTCTTGTTTGTCAAGACTTGTGTTTTGGACTTTAAGTGTTAAAACAGAAATTTAAAAAAAGAGTAATGTTTCTCTATAGTGGTCTTCTCAGTCTAAGTGCGGTAGTGGTGTAGTGGTGGAGCGCTTGCTTCATAAGCAAGAGGTTCCGAGTTCAATTCCCACCACGTGCCTGGTAGTACTGCGCTCAACTTGTTTCTCTGCACATCGGCTTTGTTTGTCAAGGCTCGTGTTTCGAAGTTATAGAGTTGAGAGAGGGTTTTAACCACAACTAGCCTCCTCATCTGTAGTGGTCTTCTCGGCCTTGGGGAGGTGAATTACAAAAAAAAAAAAAGAAAAAAAAGGTGAATACATTTTAAAAAATCCAAACTTTTATGCAGTGATATTTTAAATCTAATATTTTATCTAAATATAAATCACTACATATATTAATTTTTTTTGAATGAAATTTATTTGGAGTAATTTTTTTTTTTGTCTTATTTAATATTTTTTTGTCTTGTTTAATAAGTAGTTCTTATGAATGGGTTCAATAAATTCAATAAATTTTAATAAGTTCAATAAATTTTTTTGTTTTAGTGTATTATAATGCAAGTTGTAATCACAGTTATTTGTTAACAAGAGTTACTAAGAATCAATTGTTATCAATAGTTACTAAGAATCAATTGTTATCAAGAGTTACTAAGAATCAATTGTTACAGTTTTCATTGTATTAGTTTAAAAATTTTATCTACTTATAAAAAATATTTTACCAAAGCTGTCCCATTCATTAAGATTCTGCCTTTAAATTTATATGAATTGGTTCATTCCAACAATGTAAACTTTTGGAAGTTAAAGAAAAACTGCATTTTCCCCCATAGTAAATTATTGTTAATGGGTTAACAATTTTTTTTCTGAAGAGAATGTTTTTCACTTTCAAAAAAAAATTATCAAATCATTAACAAAAATTTATTACAGGGGGAAATGCAGATTTTTTTAGTTTCCCAAAAGTTTACATTGTTGGGGTTTCACCCTTTTAACATTCATCGATTCATATATTGTTATAAAAAGTTCTCACATCAATTAAAAATTCTCTCATGTAAAATATTAACTTTAGGTTTTCAATATTATAGAATGAATTGTTTACTTTATTGTTCACAACCTACATGGTGAAATGTGAATAGAAAGTTAGAAATATAAAAAAAATGTTGCGATAAAATTAAAATTTTTTGAAGTGATGTTAAACATTGTCCAAATAAATAACTTTTAAATCTTATTGGAGAATATGATTCTTTATCGATAACTGTAAAGGTTTGTGTTTTGACAGCCAAACACTGGTAACCAACACAGAAACACTGCTAATGAATGTCAATTTTGTAATTTAATAAATAAAATATTTATTATTTTCAATTTTTGCGCATTGAATTTAGATATTTATAAAGTCAAGTTTTACTTGTATTTTTATATTATATGTATTAAATTGTAATATTTGTTATATTTTTAGACTTTGTTTGTGAATAATATTTGATATATTAGTATTTGTTTTTAAATAAAACAAGTTTAGAATGGAACTTTTCTAGATTTCATTTTTAAAATACTTTTTAAAGCAAGAACCACATACCAAATGGTATCTAGTTCTTGCTTTAGACATGATATATATATATATATATATATATATATATATATATATATATATATATATATATATATATATATATATATATATATATATATATATATATATATATATATATATATATATATATATGTATATATATATATATATATATATATATATATATATATATATAATATATATATATATATATATATATATATATATATACATCTTATTTGGATCTTGGCTAATTCTTTGTCCATCCAAGCCCGAGTTTATTTGATTGTATTTAAAAATCTGGTGTTCAAGCTGGCCAGGACAATAAACCTACTTGGTTTCTATATAACGAAATTATCAAACTAACATAAATTATAGTAATTATAAATAACAATTAAGTTGAGAAAAAAGTAGAATGGAAATTAAAAAGTTTGTGTCTTTAAAAAAAGAGTAAAAGTTAGGGAATCAAGTTTTTTTTTTTTCCTGTTTAAAAAAAAATAAATTGTTTCATTAAAAACATTAAAAGTAAAAATACAAACTAATTTATTAACACCAAGTTTTTAGTTATTGCTTGCATTAAATTATTTTTCTCTAAATAGTTTCACAAAATTCAGTAAACCAGACATCATTGAGTCTGCTTTAAAGAAAAAAAAAAATAGTAAAAAAATAAAACAGAAAACAAGGTTTTTATATTAATGTAATTTTTTTTATATTTTTATCACTTTTTTGGTTTTAAGCCCAAGTTTTGAATTCACATTTGTGGATTTGAGTATTGTGCATTTAACATTAATGAATGATATCAATGAGAATTTGGAGAAAATTTTCTTTGTATTTAGTATTTTGACAGACTTTTTTATATAATTAGCATTTAGCTCTTATGTAACATTTATGTCTTAATTATATCACACTTAGAACTTAAATACGTCACACTTACATCTCAATTATGTCACACTTAAGTCTTACTTAATTTCACATCTAATAATGTTTGCTGCCCTATTTCTAGTTTATGTAGTCCGAAAAAAAAATTACTTTTACCTGTTTAAACTTTTATAAGAAATAGAAACTTTTTAAGACCCAAAGATTATTTAAGATATTTTACAAACTTTGCCTTTTTTGTTTATTGTTGCATAAACAAATTTATTAATTTTTTTTTTTGTCATGATCTGCAGGCACTTTTTTCTGAGTAATTGAATTCAGATTTTTTTTTTTTTTAATTTTTTATATTTGCTGAACATTTGATGAAAGTAGAGTTTTATATATATGATATAGAAATTGTCATTTTTATATCATATATAGGGTAGATTAGGGTAATATGAGCATCTAAAGGGAAAATTTGAATATTTTCAAAAATAATTATGCTGGATTCAAAAATTTTGTAAATGAACAATTTTTAGGGATGCTTACTCATGATTCACTTAGATGTTTGGGCACCCGAAATTCTTTCTTAAAAACACAGAGGTTTTAAAAAAGTTGCAAATGTGCTCATATTACCCAGACCACTTGGTAATATGAGCACTTTATATTAGCTCAAAAAAATAAATTATGTAAAAAAATACCAACCTGACAATTAGAACTAATTTTTGGAATATAATGATTCGTTGTTAACAAAACTCATCATATTATAAATTACAAAAAAATATTTAGTATTGTATAAATATTAAAATTCTTTACTATATTTTGTTTTTATTTTACTATGTTTTCAAAAAGCAATTAAAACCACTGCTATTTTAGGACTTTAATGCTCATGTTACACAAAAATGGCATTTTTAAATAAAGTCAAAACTAAATATTTCTATGCGTTATTTTTCAAACAAAAATGGATTGAATTTTTAGCTAATCTATTTTTCTTTATCAAAAAATTAAATTTATTATTTTAACGCCAAAATTTTGCGCCACAGATTTATTTATGTGTGATATTATTTTAAAAAAGCAAAAAGTTTAACAGCGTTTCAATTAGATAATACCCACTAATTACTGCATATAGAATTACGCTAATTGTACTGATTCCTGTTATCACCATATAAAGTTGATTCAAAAAATACAAAGCAACTTTAACTTCACTGCTTACATTTAAGAAATCTTTAAGTATGCTCATAATACCCTAATCTACCTTATAGTTAATAATTACATTTGTTTATTTAGAGGCTGGAAAAATTCAGGCATTTCCAAGTCCTAAAAACCTAAACTTTTCAGAACCAATTCCATTGCAAGAGGTAAATACCATTTTGTATAAATAAATAAACAGTTTTTAAAACAGCTGAAAAGTTATTTTTAACTTGAAATAATATAATGTAAGCATCATGTAAAATAATGCAGAAATTGTTAAATTATGTATACTTATATTTCTTGCTTTATTCTAATATCTTTATATATTGATGCTATATTGATATTATTATTTTCTTTTATTATGTTATTATTACATTTTTATATGTTTTTGTAATCTTTTTATGTGTTTTTGTTGACATGGACCTATGTTTTTGTTTACACTTTTTTGATATCTTAAGAAATGTTCTTTTAAGAGAAAGTTTTAAGAAACATTAAACTGTTGTATGTAAATTTCTTGTTTTTTCTTCGAAATTTTTGTTCATTTTAAAATTATATATATATATATATATATATATATATATATATATATATATATATATATATATATATATATATATATATATGTATGTATGTATGTATGTATGTATGTATGTATGTATGTATGTTATATATATATATATATATATATATATATAAATTAATTGTTTTTATCTTTGTTATTATATCTATGTCCCTAATTCTGGATGCTTATAAAATATAGAAAAGCACACACACAATTAATGCTAACATTAAAATTAGTATATAATATAATCCATTAAAAAAATGGAATTGTTTAATTAAAAAATAAATATATTATTTTACTGCATTCGTTACAAATAAATTCCATAGTTGTACAATAATCAAATATGACCAATTAGAACACCGCTCACACGCAAGTCATTGGTTATCTAAGCTATTCCTCCAATTACTTTCATAAAGAAGATCATTAGATACTAAAATGCTATTTGAAGCTTGATTCTTTGTCTTTTGACTTTTTTTACCTGGTGTTTTAGCCCACTGACTTTGTTTTAACTTTTTTTTTTCTTCTCTTTTATGTGCATTTTCAGCTTTTTGAGTGGCAGTGGTAATCTTTTTTGTTCTCTAGTCAATTTCTTTGTTTTAGGATAATTCTTTGCAGCTTGTTTATGTATTTTTTTTTGATGCATGTTCAGCTTCATTGTAAGTTATGGCGAAGTCATATTATAATTAGCTGATCGCTTTATTCTCTCACCTTTTTGAACTTTTATTTAGAGTTAGTATCAATTTATCTCGAAGCATACTTAATACTGATTTGTTTATATCTTTTCCCACTTAATGAAAGTGGGAAAAGATATAAATTATTCAAAAGTAGCAAAGCTTTTAAGCAAAAACTAAACCATTTGACATTCTTGACGATGTGTTTGGTATATTGTTAGCATTTCCCAAAACTAATGGTCTAGATACTGTTGAAAAATCAAATAAATTTTCAGTATTGTTGTTTTTGACAGCTTAAAACATGGCACCAATGGAAGTCTTTTAGAAGAAATTTGTGTACAATTGAGTGGAAATATACCAGTATTTTTGAAACCACTCCATGCATTTTCAAGTTTAAACCTATCATTTTGGATTAGTTCTTTAAACATAGCCGGAAAAATGTTGATTATCAGGTTTTGAAAGTGAATTTAAGTCAAATAACTTTCCATTTGCTTCCATTCCCTTTTTACTGTTTTAAAAACGCCAACATATAATGGCTGTAAAAAATGGCAAGTATGAGGCGGCAAACACCAAAGTACACTATAATTTTCTAAAACTTTTTTTTTCAATTCTAAACTCATATGTGAAGCATGGCCATCAAGAATTAGACTTTTAAACCTAAAAGTTTAATTGCATGAGGCAAAAAAACTGTTATAAACCACAACAAAAAATATTTGATTCCATCTAGCCTTAACTACTACTGTTATAATAAACATTTTGGACACCGCCTTTGCACCAGTCTTTCAAAATATGTTGGTCTTAATAAATTACTTGATGAGGTTAATAATTGCCAAAAGATCACAATAGTTCAAGATTGTGGTCATTTGCTTTGCATTTGGTGGTGCTAGCTTTTTAGAATTTTTTGTTCCTTTTCTACAAATAATTTTGACTTTACTTTGATCAAATTTCAAACCAGACTTATTGCAGTTGAATATTTGAAATGGCTTATTTCCTAAATTATGTTCATTATATGCTGCTGCTAATTAATCAAATCAATTGTTAATTATAGCATGCGGTGTGGCCACAGCTCTAATAGTTTGCATGCCACTTACTTTTCTTGGGCAAATATTTTACGATATTTATTCATGAAACCAGAGTACCATTTTCTAGTCGGTTTGCCATCTTTGAATAAACTAGTTTGGTTTGATTCTTTCAAATAATTTTCAACAACAATAAACATGTCTTTTCTATTCAAGCTAAAGCCTATATCATTCATAAATTTTAATAAATCAACAATAATAGCTTTAGTGATGCTGCTCATCTTTCTTAGTGCTCTTCAGTCATTAGATGACCATTTTGTTCTGTCAAAAAAGGTAGATTTTGCCATACTATATATTTAGCAACTTGTACATATGACTTTTTTTTTTCAGTAATAGCTTGAATAGCTAGCAGGATTCGGCTCTCTTGCTCTTCTTTTTGTTTAAATTTATTCTATAATACAGTAAAACAATTAACACCTATGCATTAACTTTATGTACATTAATTAATAAACACCTGTATCAGGATTTAAGTGTCAATTTTTTTTATTGCTGGTAGCTAATTTGTTTTTAATTTTTTTAAATTAATTTTTTCAAATAAAAATAAATAAATGGTATTTTTTTTTTTAACTCAAATAATCAGCATAAAATTATTTAAGTGCTTTTTTTTCTTTTTTTTTTTTTGTTAATTTAGTTTTGTTAAATTTCAAAATGAAATCTTTCATAATTGCATTAATTTAGATAATTTTTTTTTATATTCTTCGATTTGTCTGGTATATACCTTCATTAATTTAAAAAAATATTTCATAAATTCATTATATTAAGCGAGTTATGAAACTTTTTACTAAAACCATCCAGAATTAGGTTACATCCAGAATTAGAGGGTTTTACGGTGTATATGTTACACACAGATTGTGAAATCAAGCATTTTACGAACTGTGCAATTTTTTGCTCGTTTTGTGAAATGTATAGCGCTGTTGCGCAGTTTGTGAAATGTTGAATTTTTACAGGTTTTTTTTAAAAATATTTAATATTACTATGTATAATAAATCTTAAACATTCAATAACTATTTTTTAGTAATTTTAATTTTAGTAGTTATTAAATGTATAAAACAATTTCAATTTTTATAATATTTAATATTATTTTCAATATTTATAAATTTGCATAATTAAGATAATAGTAAATAAACACTTATTAAATGCTTTTTTTTGTTTTGTTTTCAAATAGTTATTGTCTATATATAGTATAGTTATTGTCTATATATAGTCAATATATAGTATAATAGTTATTCTCTATATATTATATAGACAATATAGTAATATATTATATAGACAGTTTATATATATCTATATATAATATGATATATAGACAATAACATAAAGCATAAGCATTTAATAAGAGTATTTACGTTACATTTATTTATATTACATTACATTTAATAAGCATTTTAATTTTCATTTCGATTTAATTTTAGCAATTCTGCTCATTTAATTAATTTTTACTAAAAACAATTTTATAAAACTAAACAAGGTGGTCACAAACAAAGTGATATTTAAAAATCATTGTCACAGCAGCACTTTTACTTTTGCCAGAAAAAAATAGTATCCCCAAATAAACTCTAAGTTCGCCACTGATATATATATATATATATATATATATATATATATATATATATATATATATATATATATATATATATATATATATATATATATTAAAAATGGAATTATATATTATATATATATATAATTCCATTTTTAACTTTATTACACGCGCAACAACTTTATCAAATATTTGCCTATTTAAACTGTAAACTAAACTTTTAGCTATTTTGTATGAAAGCTGTTAGTCTAAAGAATAAAATAAGCTAAAATGTTTTGAGTCTGGCTAAAAAAGGGCGAACTTATTACTGAAAATGCTTCTTAACTTACGTTACACGGAAAACAAGCTAAAAAAATTACTTCAACTTTTAGGTCAGATTTTTACCAATCAGTAAAGCGATTAGTATTAGAAACTATTACAAGATGTTAAGAATCCTATGTTAATTTAAAAAATATATAAATTTTTATCAGAGGTGACTGGTTAAGGAAAATAAACTTGATTTTTTAATACTATATATTTAACTTACATTACCGAGCGATATTTATTGTGGATTTTTTATATCTATTGTTCAAAGTTCTAACTTTGAATAATAGATATAAAAAGAGTTACATAACAAAAGAATTGCAATAGTATTGAACTAATTCATTAAAAATAATTAACAAACGAAATTTTAAAAAACTGGTGGCTCTCTTCCTGAGTGATTTTTCATAACATTTATGAAAGTTATCTAATGAAAAACCAAGAGCAACTTTAAAAAATTATTTTAGTATTACAACTTTATTAATACTTATTTGAGTCGTTTAAATAAGAAAATCTTTGGTTTGTTGAAGTTTTTACTTACACTTCTTACGTTTATGCGTATTGACTTATTTTCATTAGGTTGAATTTTTAAAATGCTGCAAAGTATTTACATTTAAATTTTTTAAAATATTTTTGACAGCAAATCACAGTTTAGGAGGGAGAGGTATATGTGATTGTTTTTAACAGGTGGAAAGGGGTTAAGAATTGACAAATATAGGGTGAGGTATTTTATGGATGACGCATAATTTCATTTACAAGCAGTTTGTTTGGTTAATTATTGCCGACCTCCTTTTTCATAATTATGAGGGTTGATATATATATATATATATATATATATATAAATATATATATATATATATATATATATATATACTCTTGCATGTCTCTTGCATAGCATCAAAAAAAGTTTCCCATAAACTGTAGTTTTAAAGAGCGCGTTAATAAACCAGACCAGAAAAAGTTTTAAAAATTAAATTTTTTTTTTTAATTGATAGACTGCCTGGCCAAACCAAACCCTCAGTCGATGTAGCAGCACTCTTGCGAGTCAGGCTATTTGTCAGTCGTTGTAGCAGCACTCCCTTGCGAGTCAGGCTATTTGTCAGTCGATGTAGCAGCATTCCCTTGCGAGTCAGGCTATTTGTCAGTCGATGTAGCAGCACTCCGTTGCGAGTCAGGCTATTTGTCAGTCTATGTAGCAGCACTCCGTTGCGAGTAAGGCTATTTGTCAGTCGATGTAGCAGCACTCCGTTGCGAGTCAGGCTATAAGATAGTCGATGTAGAAACATTTACGCATGTTTTAAAAATGTTTTTTATTAAATCAATAACAAAAACACCACTAATTAAAAAAAACTTTCTAGTCGTTATAATTGCGGTTTTTTAAAAATTTTTTAAAAAACAATTAAATTTAATGTACTTCCGCATAAATTAATTGCTTTGACATTTCGATGACAATCAAAAACTTAAGAGACGAGGTAATTAAAATTGTAGTCGTAAGAGACTTTTTTTACATTAAAACGCTCTTTCGACTACACTATATGGGTATATATATATATATATATATATATATATATATATATATATATATATATATATATATATATATATATATATGTGTGTGTGTGTGTGTATATATATGTGTGTATATATGTATATGTATATATATATATATATATATATATATATATATATATATATATATATATATATATATATATATATATATATATGTATATATATATGTATATATATATATATATATATATATGTATGTATATATATATATGTATATATATATATATAATTTATAATTTATATATATATATATATATATATATATATATATATATATGTATATATATATATATATATATATATATATATATATATATATATATATATATATATATATATGTATATATATATATGTGTGTATATATATATATGTGTATATATATATATATATATATGTGTGTGTATATATATATATATGTGTGTATATGTATATGTATATGTATGTGTTTATATATATATATATATATATATATATATATATATCAATCGTTATCTTGCTCTACAATCTTCATCTTTTTTCTTCCAGTAACTTCCAACACTAATTAGTGGTTGCTTGTAGCTTTGTTGGAAGCAAAGATGTTTAAAATATATATATATATATATATATATATATATATATATATATATATATATATATATATATATATATATATATATATATATATATATATATATATATATATATATATATATATATATATATATTATAATATAATTGTACAAAATTAATTCATAATAATAATAAAATACTTTGTAATATATTAATTTTGATTGAGTTAAGTTTATAAATAAAATTTGCTTTATTACATTTAAAGAATTAAGTTGCATGTAAAAAAAAAAGATAAATTTATATAAAAAGATTGATCAAAATCATTTTTACATAATTTTATGAACTCTTCACTGAAAAAATAAATTGCTCTCATTTTGTCAGTTTTTTATTCAAAAAGTAAAAAAAGGTTATAAAAAATGTTTCATAGATTTTATTAAAAACTGAACATTTATAAATTATTTATTATAATTATAAGAATATTACTGAATGTTGAATAAACAACAAACTTAGCAATAGTTCGTTTTTTATATAGTGTACATAAAACTATTTAATAAACAGCTTAGTTTTGGTTTGATTTAAAAATTTTGTTTCTGCATTTTGATATCATAGTAACAATCATGATACCATAACAACTCTTGGAAAGTAAAATAATATGTTTAGTATTTTCGGCTTTTTTTTTGTTATTTTAAAAATTAAGATGGCAATCTAATAAAACTAGTAAGTGACCTGGCCCTGGGGAAAAATTTGACTTTTTACAAACTCGGCCCTAGCAAACTTATAAGATTTAGCAAGGGTTAATAGCCAGGGTTAGGAAAAAGTTTATAAAACTTTATATATTATAAAGTTATACATACATATACTATCTGTTAAATGCTGGCATTTAATATATAGTATAATATATAAAAAAAGTAAAAGAATCAACTTTACCACGATGGCAGAGTGGCTCAAATATGGCAGATAAAGCAGGTCCAACTACATTTACAATGTGCTTTGGACCTTGTCTGAAAATGAGTGGGTTGTTATTTTTCAATAAACTAATGTCAACAATATAGCAATAGTTGCTAGCAGTAAATAACTAAGTTTAGATGGAGTTAAAATCCACAAAGCCACTGCTTACCCCAAGCTGTTACAGAAGAGAGATCAGATCAAGCTTGTTTTAAGCGGTTGAAATGTCAAAATAAGAATATAAAGTTGAATTGTCAGCAAATTCTTTTTTATAAATACAAGCCTCTTTTTTTCCTGATAATCGTCTATTTTATTATTGCAGATAAAAAACAATACAGGAGCAAGAAACAAGCAAGGATTAAGAAGGGAGCAAAGATAGAACCTTGCAGTACTCAACCCTTGGAATTAGGTTTGGCATTCGGCAATGCTGACCTTGAAGTGTTTAAGGTTGGCAAAAAAATGCTGACTTTGTTTCTATGTTTTACGGTAAGACCTTAGTATCAAATTTTTTGCCAACCTGATGCTGAGCTCTCAAAGATTGAGTTTGGCAAATTATTGCCATCCTGATTTTTCCTAATTCCGATAGTTGAGTACTCCTAAAGGTTTAATATAGCAATGGTACAAGAAGGTGAAAAAATATTAGGTAAAATGAGGCTTGACTAAAAACCAAAGAGAAGGAATAAAAGCTTTCATACCTGTTTGGATCCAGGAGGTTTAGATGCATTTATGCATACATAATATGGGTATATATGGATATAAACATATGTTTGCTATTTATTTAGATCTTGGTATATTATCTTAACATATTTGTATAAACTTTAATGTTTACATGGTCAGTCTGTCAAGTCATCATTTTTACCGTTTTTTTCTGAGTCTTTTTTATAAATTCAATTTTTTTTTTTTTTCTAATTTTTTGTCATTTTTTCATTTTTTCTGAATTTTTTCAATTAAAATTTTTTTTAAGTATTTTGATTGAGTTAAGAGATATTTTAAGTTTATCTTTTGTAATTTGAGTTATTTTTGATAATTTAAATAAATTTTACAATAAATATATTACTAGCATCTATTTTTAATTTTTAGTATATTAATCAATAGATAGTTTATATTAATCAATATATAGCTCAAAGCCATAATGGTTAAATGGAATGAGGTTTGGCTGGAAAAGCTTGATAAAAATCAAGTTAAAATTAAACTATGGGCTGAGAAAAAAAACTCTAATTTTGCAGTTTGTAAACTATGTTTTATAGATTTGAAATACAGTTTAGTTGGTTTTCAAGCATTTATCAGCGTTCTACAAAACCTAAACATAAATTAGTTTCTGATATTAGATTTTCAAAAACAGCTTGTCATTTGAATGTGAGAGAAAATAGTACAACTAGAGTATTCTATAAATGATAAAATTTCAGCTGCAGAAGCTATGTGGCTGTTTAAAGTTGCTGAAAATGATCTTGCTTCAAGACATTGCAATAATACATCATTATAATTTTAAAGAAAGTCAAAAAAATGCTTGCAGATTTATAACATAATGAAAGATTTGATTTACCATGGGATGGACTTTTTAATATTTCAACTGATGGTCCTAATATTAATAAAGCTATTTGGAATTTATTAAATGCTGATCTTCATAACGATGGTTTTAATGGATTATTACCATTTGTAAGTTGCACTTTGCACACAGTGCACAATGCATTTTGAAAAGCAATAATAGTTTTAGGTGAGGATACTGAGCAGCTTGCATTTGATTTACATGCTTGGTTTAAGGTATGGGCTTTATTAGTAATTTTACTGTTAGTATTATTTAAAAAAAAGTTATTTTTCACTCATTATTAGCTAATAAAAAGTTGTTAGTCTTTATGCTCAAGTTTGAAATGTACCCTTTCAAAAACTTCCGCTTGTTTTGCAAATATTAAAAGATTTTACTTGCTTGGGTGCTTAAATGAGGTCAGAAACTTGGACTGTTTGCAATTTTGATGCCATATGTTATAAAGGAAAAAGAGGTGAATTTTTATATTTAATTGCAGTATCGGTTTGTTTTTTTAAAATGTACTTTAATAGTTTGATTTGTATTTAATAAAAATGTTCTGTTTATGCATATTATAGTTTCTTAAGATTTGTTTATGATAATAAGATGTATTATTGTTAAGATAATTAGATGTATTATTGTTATGATTGACTGAATTAACCAACAATAAGATGTATTATTATTGGTTATTTCAGTTTTCCTTTAGATTTAAATATTAATTTTTTCATAAGAATTTTATCCTTATTTTTGATTAGGTATAATTTGTGAAAAATGAATGGAAATGTATCAAGCAGCTAGTATCTCAAAAGACTGGTATTTAGATTCTGATACAAAAAAACTAAAGAGAGTTGACTATCACTATTTTAAGTATCTAAGTAAAAACTAAGTATCTATATCTCAGTAAAGTTGTTAAGAGCTGTTTAACTGTTCAGAATGGAAACAGTGCAGAGCGAAGTTTATCAGATAATAAAAATACATTGACTACAGATCGAGTAAAACTAAATGATGAAACATTGATGGCTTTAAGAGTATCAAAGGAATACGCAAGAAGTTGCAATGGAGCATATAATGTTGATGTTCTCTCTAAAGATGTTGTTCAAGCAGTGCAAAATGCTCACAGAATATATATATAAAAAAAGCTGAGGAAGAAGAATAAAAAAGAATAACTGATATTCATAAGCAAGAACTTATTGATCAAGAAAAACAACACAAAGGAATGCTTGATAAAGGGTTTAAAAAGAAAAAACCTATATCAAAGGGAAAAAAATCTTGAAAATGATGAGAAAAGCGCAGGTCTAGAGTTTCAACTTGCTCAGAGAATGCTGGATGAAGCGATTAAGTCTATGCAAAGTGCCATCAATAAAAAGACATGATAGGTATAAAAATTGCATAGGAATGAACAAAAAAAGTTAAGAGTAAATATTGGTTTAAAACAAAAAAAGTGAAATGGATAGTTTAATTGTTTCAAAAGTCAAAGTAGTATTGTAACTTTGTAGTTGTTGTGAACTTCTTGTTTAATTACTTTGAACCTTTTTGTTGTTGCAAGTTATTTGGTGTTTTGATATTCTGGTAATTTATTTTATATTAATTTAGATGTTTTTGATGACTTCTGATTTATTTTTAAAAATAGTTGTTGAATTTTTCATTTTTTTAATGAAATTTGTCATATATATATGTATATATATGTATATATATATATATATATATATATATATATATATATATATATATATATATATATATATATATATATATATATATATAACATGAATATTAAATTAAAAATATAATTAGGGTATATTAAGGTACATGTTTATGCAGAAAAGGATTTATCAATGTTTATGCAACCTTGCTTATAAATGCGATCCCAGCCCTGGCTATTTTATTTTATTTCAAACTCAGCCCCAGCCCTGGCCCTGATCAAATATATACTCCTGTGGCTTACTAAATAAAATGGTAACCTGTTGCTGATAGCACAAGTATATTTACTTTTTTTATATATTGTTTTTTTAAATATTTCAACAATGTTTTTTTAGTGGCTATCTAAAAACTTTTCAGCAGAGAATAATGTGGTAGACCTTTTCAACGAAGAATTTAAGGTTAAAATATATATTATATAGATTAAAAATATGCTTTGATGTGGATATCTTAACTTTGCTTAACTTTGCTTATCTAACTTTTTCCATTATTAAATGCCTCTTATTGTTGTTATCAGATTTTTTATTTTGTGATCTGTTTTTTGTTTTACAAATTTTTGTCTGGTGATTTATATCTTCGTTCATATTAGTGTTTAAAAAAAAAAAAATTTATTTTTATTTTTTATTTTTTTAAATTTATTTTTATTGTTATTATTGTTGTGGGTGTATAGCCTGTCTTATTTATTTTTAAATATTCCTCTAATTAATCTTTATTTTTGTCTTGAGAACTGTCAAAATATGCTTTGTCTAATAAATAATTCTCCTTTATTCTAATGTACTTCATTTCTTCCTTCATTTTTAAATATTCCTCTAATTAATCTTTATTTTTGTCTTGACAACTGTCAAAATATGCTTTGTCTAATAAATAATTCTCCTTTATTCTAATGTACTTCATTTCTTCCCTCAGGCGTTCACTGCTCGTGTGTGACCATTCGGCGAATTTTATATGCCAAAGTTTTTAAATAAAATATATATTATGTAGATTTAAAATATGCTTTGATGTGGATATCTTAACTTTGTTCTTAACTTTGCTATTGTCTGCTATTATTTAGGTAAAAATATACAGACAAGGTACTTTTGATATTCATAATACAAATGAAACATGGCTTTGGCTTAAGGCAAGTTGTTTGAATTTTAGTTTACCTTTAAATTAACCTTTAAATTTTTTTAAATTTGATCTTTATAATTGATTTGTTAATTCAATTTAACTTTAATGCAATAATTGGGTTGTTGTTTAACATTGGAAATATAATGTTTTGTTACTTTAAGAATCTGTCTCGCTTTAAAAATCTATAAAAAGAACATGAATGTTGTTTTTTATTTATAAATAATTTATAATAAATGTCTTAAAATAATTTTTTTTTGTTTCTAAAAGAAATTCCAGTACAAGTACAGCTCATGAAAATATAGAAAGCGCTGTACTGGCTCTGGTCAGCTCGATTATTAAATTTTTAACTCTATACTTTCTTTTCTTTAATGTAGGCCAGACAAATATAAAATTCCTGGGCCTATTTCAAACCTCAGTCCGCCCCTGCATACAACAAATAATAAGATGTAACTGCCACATTTGTCAAATCATTTTATTTCAACCAATGGCCTGTTGTACACCTTCTTGTCCTGATTTTTGATATTTTTATACGCCATGTATTAAACTTAAGACTTCCTAGTGCAATTGTTTAGAAATTAATGTGGTTAATGCCTCGTAATTAATAAACACAACACATTAGCCCCCTCGATTTATGAATGCTAAAAAATAGATTACTTTCAAAGCTTTTGAATAACTTTTTACCAACTTTTAACAAGAGTCTTATTTTTTCTGAATTTTATTATTTACTGGATAGTTCTATCTTTAAAATAGTGGTTTTTACTAACTTCTATCATATAAAAGAAATATTATAACATCCTTATCTTTAGAAAAAATATGAAAATTGCTAAAAAATGAAAAATTAAGTTAACTATAGTACTTATTCATTAACAAGTTTTCTAATTACTTACTATTGTCTGCAATCGATGCTTTTTATATGCTTTTATATTTTGTCATATGTCATATCGACACTTTTTATTGATCTAATACTAACAGAATTTAACTATTAACAATTAATTATTAGTTAACTTTTAATTATACTATGCTAATTAGTACTAGTTAAGTTAATTAATACTAAAATCATTAACTACAACACTTTGTATTAATACTAAAAGAATTAACTACAACACTTTGTATTAATTCTTACTAGTTATAAGACTAACATATAATACCATTAGACCCAGCATATTGAAAATGCATATTGAAACTGTTGCCTCTCTAACCTGACTACTGACTCGTGTAAGGAGTGCTACCAATTTTTAGTCATTTCTTTAAAAAATGTGATGTAGTTTGTTGCTTTTTCCTTGATCTGGTTTTATAGTCTGCAGGGACACAAATAAGGAGGCAGAAACTTTTTAGAGCCCTGTTATTATTATTGTTTAAATGTGATACTTTAAACATAATTTTTACAATTTAGGAGTGTTATATCTGAAGGTGAACCTTTAATATATTTCAAAATTTATGCTAAAAAGCATAATAAATTTTTAAGAAGACTTATTTTAAAGTTAAAACTTGTTACACAAAAAACTTTGAAATTTTATAATTGATTGTTTATTAATAGTAATGAGGCAATTGCTTGGGCTATTAAACAGTGTACTGAGTATTGTCTATGGTTTGAGTCAAGTTCTTTAACAAATTTAAAAATAAATAAAGTACCAAAAACTATGAAACACAAAAAACCATCACCAAGTTCTCTAAACCTATAATTCGCTAATATTTGTGGTCTTCGAAGTAACTTTTCTTCTTGTCTTATCTCTTGCAAAGTTCACCAGTACTACAGCAAGTTCACAAGTACTTGCTCTTTGTGAGACTATTATCTCATTCTTCTTCATCATCTGAATACAACTACCTCAAAGCTGACTGGGACTCTTTTCGTGATTTTCTTTAAGATGGCCCTTAGGTAGAAATCTTTCATCTTCCTGCTGACAAATTTCTTACACAACATTGTGGATTCAGGCTGGCATGGAATCTTTTATTCCTTCTCGAAGATTCCAGGTCAAGCCTCACTCTTCTCCATGGTTTTCCTCACATTGTGCTGCTGCAATTTCCAATCAAAACCGTTACTTTCATATCTATCAGTAAAACAATTCCCCAGAAAATAGACATCTAATTATTACTGCTAGAAACCATTATAAAAAGGTTTTGTCTGGCGCCAAAACACGCTATTCTCAGGTCATTAAATCTTGTATTTCATGACAAAAATAAGCTCTTGTGATTTCTGGAGAATAGTGAATATAATAGTGTCGAGGGTGTATAATAGTGTCGAGGGTGTATAATAGTGTCGAGGGTGTATAATAGTGTCGAGGGTGTATAATAGTGTCGAGGGTGTATAATAGTGTCGAGGGTGTATAATAGTGTCGAGGGTGTATAATAGTGTCGAGGGTGTATAATAGTGTCGAGGGTGTATAATAGTGTCGAGGGCAAATCTGTTATTCCTCCTCTCTTATATAGTTCAGACTTTTTTACCTTACCTAAAGACAAAGCTGAATTGTTTGCTAAGAACTTTTCATCAATATCATCTCTTGATTCCACTAGTTGCTTTCTACCTGATTTAGCTGTCAAATAGGTTGATCCATTGCTTGACATTCGTATCACTCCAGCTTCTGTATCTAAAGTGAATTCCTGTTTCCTGACTCTTCTACAGCTTGTGGTTTGGACAACATACCTGTTATAATCTTGCAGAAGTGTCATCTATACTTTCTGAAGCTGTCATCTATACTTTTAAAACTATTGAACAAGTGCTTATCAAAGTCTTGTTTTTCCAGCCTGCTGGAAAGTGGCATCTGTTATCCTTATTTTCAAAAATTCTGGAGAGCGATCTGATTCGTCTAACTACCATTCCATTAGTCTTCTTCCTATCATAAGCAAGGTTTTTGAATCTTTAATTAACGAACACTTGATCTCTCATCTTAAATCTAATAACTTACTCTCTAATCATCAATATGGATTTTGACCTTATCATTCTACAGCTGTTTTGCTAATAGTAATAACTGATAGGTTTTATTGTGCATTAGATAAAAGTGGAAAGGTTAAGGCCATTGCTCTTGACATATCTATAGCTTTTGATAAAGTTTGGCATGCTGGTCTTCTCCATAAGCTTTCTTCTTACGTTTTATCTGGTAACATCTTTAAGATTATTGAATCCTTCCTTTCCAATTGTAGAATAAAAGTTGTCCTAAATAGACACCACTCTTCTTTATATTCTGTAACTTCAGAGGTTCCTCAAGGTTCAATTCTTGACCCTATACTCTTTTTAATTTATATTAATGATCTTCCAGATATTCTCACATCTAAAGTGGCATTGTTCGCTGATGGTACTACCATTTATTCTTGTCATGATAAGAAGCCAACATTCTCTGATTGCTTGGAGGGGGTGTTAGAGTTTATAAAAGATCTCACTTCTGCTACAGCATGGGGTTCACAGTGGCTGGTGAACTTTAATTCAGATAAAGCTTAATTTTTTTCAGCCAATCATTATCAAAATAGTTTAGATCTTCCTATATTTATAAATGGTAAAGTACCTGATCATCTACCCTTCATCTTCTAGGATTAACTTTTTGTTGCAAAAAAATCCAGACCAGAGATTTTTTTTTTTTCAATTTTTTTTAAATTAATTTTTTTTTTTTTAAATAATTTTTTTCAATTAATTTTTTTTTTTTAATTAATTTTTTTTTAATTAATTTTTTTTTTTTTTAATTAATTTTTTTAAATTAATTTTTTAATTCTTTTTAAAATCCTAATCCAAATTTAAATAAGATTTCAAATACATTTAAAAAATATTTTTTAGGTAAAATGAACATTATACTTTAACAATATAATCTGTTCTGATCATTTATTGGGGCTTTTTCTTAATTACAAGTTCTTTCTTGGTTGGAATTCTAGTATTTTTTGTGAAAATTGAAAGTAATATTATATTTTGACAACTATATATAGTTAATATATGTCAGAACCGATTAGCACAGGATCTATAGTAAATTAAGGTACGTTTTCAAAAGATTTTAACAAAGTTCATGTTAACGCTGATGAGCGAAAGTGATCTAAAAGCTCCAAAATAGTGTTCGTTTGATTCACTATTAGGGGAAGTAAAAAAGTTTTGAAAATTATATAAAAAAGAGAAAAGTTTCTTCAAATATTAAAAAAACCTGAAGCAAAAAAATTATATTTAAAGCTTTTGTTTTGTTTTATGCTTATAAAATCATGCTGATTTCAAATAAAAGATTCCGAATAATTTGTGAATTGCCTTAACTACACCGAAAAGTCATTTAATTTTTTTTTATTTAAGTTTTTAGTAAAATTTATAAAATTACTAAAAATTTTGTTTCCTTTTTGTTACTTCAGGTTGGTAATGGTGCTTGTACAATTGATAGTAAAAAAAGTTTTCTAAATCAGAATGATTCATTACTTGTGTCAGCTAATAAAAGGTATTTTTTTAGCTAATAACTTGAATACATAAATAATAATAACTTTATTAAATTCATAAATAATGGTTGGTATTATTTAGTATAATCAATAAAAAAACTAATGCTATTAAAACAGAATTATTTTGGTGGTAATAAAAAAAAAGTAATAAAAAAATTATTTGTGTTTTTGATAACCAAGATAACCAGGTTATGCTTTCAGTTTGTAGTGTAATGAACATATGACTTTAGTTTTTAGGTGATCATTTTGTCAACCTGAACACCCACAGCTAAATAATATACAGCTAAATAATATAAATAAATATAACTAAGTAAAAAAAAACATCAAAAACTTTTTAAATAAAAAACTAACTTTTTTTTTGTTTAAATAATCATAGTTACATAATCTATGATGTAATGACATCATACAATTTTTTCCAATAAGTAGAGCACCGCTTAACTCAAACTTTTGTTATCTCAAACTGTTTCATTTGGTCCCTTAAAATCATCTAATTGATTACTATTAAAATTCTCCTGTTAGGTCAAACCTCGGATTAATCAAACTTTGTCAAACCAATTTTTCATCCCCTTTCAGAAAATTTCTTTGGTTAACTCAAACTTTTTGTATAGGAAATCAGACATAAAATATATACAGGGTGGACCATAAAAAGTATCCATGTATAGTTTGTAAATCTTTTTCATGCAACGTGATATTTGATTTTTCCATTTCAGATAGATTGTGCGTTATGCATTAACAATTCGTTTGGCGCCAAAATGGATTGCATTTCAATACATAATAGGACCAAAATCTTCAAATTTTACTTTGCTACCAATTCTGTGGTTCTAGCCTAGAGAAATTTTTGTAGAGAGTTCCCTGGCAGACACTGTCTTTGTGCAAGAGCTATCAAATGCCTCGTAGCTAAATTCAGGATCGCTGGTTGTATCGTAGATAATAATAAAGGCCATAGTGGTCGACCATTTTCAACTAGAACTCAAGTTAACATTGAAGCAGTACGGGACCGTTTGCAACAATCCCCACGAAAATCACAACAACAAACTTCATTGCATTGGTTTGTTGTTCTCCAAAAACAAACCAATGCAAACAAAACCGAAAGGTTTGAATTTTGCACAAGTATTTCTGAACGAATTGAAAACAACCCGTGAGTTTTTCATCTCTTTTTTTTCAGTGATGAGGCCCATTTTCATCTTAGTGGACATGTCAACAAACAAAAAAAAGATTTTGGGCACCTAATTAACCCCATGAACACATCCAGATGCCAAGAAAAAGTAACAGTGTGGTACGCCATTGGCAAAGGAAAGATTGTTGGGCCCTTCATTTTTGAAGACAATGAGGGAAATGCTGTGACTATGAACTCCAAACGTTACATCAAAATGCTACAAAAGAAGTTTGTTCCAGCAATCCAAAGAAGGAGGAATATTGACATTCACACAATTGTTTTCCAGCAAGATGGGGCACCACCTCATTGTTCAAACAAAACTCTTGAGTACTTGAGACAATAGTTCCCAGGCAACAGACTTACTTCTTGCCGAACAGACATGCCTTGGCCTCCATATTTACCAGACTTGAAACCTGCTGATTAGTTAAATCTCAGTTATTGCACATTAAAATGTGGACACTTTTTATGGCCCACCCTGTATATATAAAGTACAATACCCTGCAACATAGAATATACAGATGGTGCCATGATAACCAATAAGAATTAAGTAGTGGATAAATGGTGATCCTCCTCCTCAGGAATGCACTGGGATTACCAATGATGTTTCGGGGAGCCCAAGATCTGCACTCGTCAGGGCATGTCCTGGCAACAGATCTCACAGCCTGCACTCTACGTCATTCTAGTTAATATTGCAATATAAAAAGACTACACTATAAAAGCCAAAAAATAATCCCTATCCCAGTTTTTAATACAGCTCTAACATTCTTAGAGATCTTGTGAGGCTTGTGTAGCTGTATATATGTGTATAAATACATGCACTCACTACATGAAAATGTACACATATCCCTTCATATATACATACATACATACCTATATATATTCATGCATACATACATATATACATAATATAATAATAAAACTGCTACAAAATAAATCATAAAATCACTTTAAAAAAGCAATTATATAATAGTTTTAATAAATATCTTAATAAAAGATCACTAACTTTTAAACCTAATTTTATTACCAAATAATAAGGAAATTATTCTATTGCTAAAGTTTTTTCTTTTTTTTAACTGCAAATAATATCTCATATCAGTCAAAGTTTGACAACTAGTTGCTTAAGTCAAATATCTGTTAAGTGGAACCATTTTCCATGGTCCCTTGGAGGCTCAAGTTATCCGGAATTAACTGTAGTTACATAATGACAATCAGTAATTTGGAATTTATTTATGTAATATAAAATAAATTTATGTTTACAAATTCATTCATTTTTTTTTAATATTTTGAAAAGTATTTTGATATAGTTATTCTTCTTAAAAAATGTTTACAATATTTTATTAAAATGTGTTTTTCTTAAATATTATTGGCAATATTTCATTAAAATGTGTTTTCAGTAAAGGTTATTTATCTATTTGTTTGCTTTGCAACAAAATCGTTTGATAAATCTTATGATAACAAGTGTAAAAATATCCTAATGGAAATTTAAAGTATAACAATGGTAGTAGTTTGATACTAAAAAAATTTTCTGATTATGTTACCATACCACACAGATGTATTTTTAAGTCAATATATAAAAATATATTTCTGAGTATCTAAAATTTTACATACATTTTTAACTCAGTTTTAAACATGTTAAAAATTGGGTTATTTAATTTATGAATTGTGTGACCAAAACGCTTTTCTTTTTAAAAGAAGTTTTTTACCCTTTCTTAATTAATGAAAAGATCTCCATCACCAAAAAGTTGTGTATAGCAAATTTAATACTTTTCAAATAATTATTCAAAGTTTTTTTTAGCAATTAACTCTATATTACCTCTGGACCGTAGATGACTAGTTGAGGTGTCAAACACGTTTTTTTAAACAATGTTTTAAGTCCTGCTTTTTTTTCCTTTCTCGTATTTTTTGCAATATATAAATGAAAATTCACATTCCTTGTATATTCCAGTATAAATATCATTGTTTACAGAAAAAATGTTAATGCTAATTTGTACCATGAGAAGAAACACAAATATCCAGTTAGCTTTACTGGAATTGCACGATTTCTACAGATCAAGTCTTTATTTTAAACTTAATTTATCATGTTTTAGTTATGTTTTCTACTCTGGACAGCTTAAGAGTTGAATTACTATGGCTAATATTGTAAAACCAGTTTTACATTCAAATATGATTTTTTCTTTAAGTTTTCTACAAACTTAAAAGATAATAATTAATAGTGTAACTGTTAAAAGACAGTTATTTTCTTTAGTGATTTCCGCAAAATTTGCATTTGTACTAAATTTAACACTTTGAACCGATTTGAAAGAAAATTTTAAAATACTCAGATTACTTTACTTTTGAAACTGAAATTTTTTTGCCGGCGCCCTGCACATACTTTATTGCTAACATGTTCGCATTTACGTTGTATAAGATTTTTGACAATTTAATCAACTTTACTGTTAACATGTTCGCACTTACGTTGTACAAGATTTTTAACAATTCTCAAACATGAACAGGTTCCTTTTTTGCAGTTTCATTTTCAACTTCTTTTTTCAGTTTTATTTTCAACTTCTTTTTGCAGTTTTTATTTTCAACTTATTTCTGCAGTTTCATTTTCAACTTCTCAATTGTTTTCATACATTTTTTTCAATTATACAATTGAATTGTTTTATAATTTTATAATTGAATTGAATTATACAATACAATTGTTTTCATACATCCTTTACATGTATCCTTTAAGGATTGATCAAAAATTCTCAATAGGTCGTAACTCAGGGACCCAAGAAGGATTTTTAACTTTTGTAACAACAAACGCTTTTCTTATCCAATTAATTATTTCTCGCAATGTGTGAAAAGACAAAATCAGGCCAAAATAAACAATCATTATGTCTGTGGTTTGTTTTTTCGCTAAATAACTAATGTTTGTTTTGTTTTTTAACCTTTTTACAATGTAGATCACACTTAAATTTTTGCAGTTTTTCGTGTTGAAGTGCCAGCTTGGATTGATGTTGCTAGCATAGTTTTTGATTTTTTGCTGATCAAGGCTTATGTTAGCTAATTGTTCTTTTACTTGATCCACATAACATTGTAGGTGATCAGAGACAAAAATATAATTTCATTACTTTTAGCATTAGGATGCAAATTCCAATAGCTTTTTATTTGCTCAAGTAGGCGGTTTAATTTTACGAATATTACAAAAATTTGATTTTCTAAAGATCTTGTCAAACCTTAAATGCTTTTTTTTATGTAATTTTTCTTATGTTTTTTAAACATTATTATAATTATAAACATGGTAATAATTATAAACATTAAATTAAATAAAAAAATAATTTAAACAATTTTTTGTAACTTTTTTTTTTTGTTTTATTTTATTTTTTAATTACAGCTTTTTTCTCGAAGTCATTGGTGAAACGTCTTTTTGTATGGTAGTTACAAATGTGGTGTAAAATGCTTACATAAAACGAAATGAACACCGTTCTTAGACGAAGAAGAAGAAAGGAATTATTTTTTGATATTATAATTATCAATTATGTATTGCTTATATGTATAGAATTCTTTTTTTATATTGTGTTTTACTAAAAAAATTTTGAATAGGAACTTCATTTTATTTTAACTTTACTTGTGATTAGGGATTGCAATCCCGCACCCTTTTCAATTCCGCTGGATTCGTGCTTGATTTTTTAATTACTGCGGGATCCCACGAGATATTGGAAGAATTTGATTTCTTATACATATTAAAAATGAAATGATGACATTTGTACCTTTACTTTCAAATATTTCAGTTAATAACAGTATAAACAGTTACCTTTCAAATATTTCAGGTTAAATAAGCTCAAAAATTTATAATTTTAAGAAAATTATATTGTAAATAAAAATAAACCAATTCATTTGTAAATCAATACAATTCGGAGCTTTTAATAATCAAAACGATAAAAAAAGAATACATAAACGTAACTTAATGTTTTGATTAATGTTTTTTAATAATTTTAAAATAATTTTTTATAAAATTCATATTTTTTATAAAATTCATATTCAAGTTTTTTTTTAATTTTATATGATTCAAAGTGATAAGTTGAAGTGTTTTTGTTGTTTTGTTGTTGATGTTGCTGTTGTTTACTTTGCAAAATTTTGATATTTTCGCAATGTAATTATTGAGAATAGTTCTATATATTTTTTTCATTTATTTTGTAAATTGTTATATTGTATATATAATATTTCATCTTTATAAACACTGCCTCGTTTTCACGGAATGTTTAATAAAAAAACTCTACTTGTTACGCTATCAAGTCTAATCAAAACAAAATATTTTTTTATATGCTTTCGCGTATGAAGTAAAATTTAAAACTTTAGAAACTTTTTAATATTAATCACTGTTTAAAAGAGAAATCACATTGAAATTTCTCGGCGTATTTATCGGCCGAATGTAATGAGGAGTTATAACATAAATTATCTTAAAATCTTGAAGAACTATTGACCAATAGTTCTCAATGAGTCATCCTAGATAACACTCAGTCATATTGGTTACTTGTAACAAGTGGGCTTCCGCACGGATCGTTCTTGGTTCCAATTTCGCTCGTCGTTTTTAACAACAACCTGCTACAATGTAATAACCAAAAATAACATTTGCAAGATCTACGCTAATGATACTAAAACCCTCACATTGTCAATTCTTCTAATTTTTCTCTGGAGCAATTCTTAGCTAACATTTTTGTATGGCTACCTATATGTGAAGCGTGTTTAAAGTTCCTGTAAGCTGTAATTTACTTAAATGAAAAGAAATGAACAAATTTAGAGGAGAATATAATGTTACTTATAGATAATTCTACTAATAGAGTTAAGTTTTTTCCTTTGAAAACGTTAACGTGCTTTTTATTGAAACAAAGAAAAATTATTAATGTGAGCAGTATTAACAATATTAAAAAACCTTTAATATTGAAAATGAAAGTATATCAAAAAGAAAAGTAAAATCAGGTTTTATTTTGTGTGTGGTTATTTCGTTTCTAGATGTGCTTATGGTTTTATCACAGAGCATTGCGGAAGAACATTTAACTCTTTCCTCACCAATGTTGCTCATCTGGCCGGAGGCAGCATTAAATCTCTGTCTTCTTGGTTCTGAACCTAAACTTCTTGGTTCTGAACCTAAACTTCTTGGTTCTGAACCTAAACTTCTTGGTTCTGAACCTAAACTTCTTGGTTCTGAACCTAAACTTCTTGGTTCTGAACCTAAACTTCTTGGTTCTGAACCTAAACTTCTTGGTTCTGAACCTAAACTTCTTGGTTCTGAACCTAAACTTCTTGGTTCTGAACCTAAACTTCTTGGTTCTGAACCTAAACTTCTTGGTTCTGAACCTAAACTTCTTGGTTCTGAACCTAAACTTCTTGGTTCTGAACCTAAACTTCTTGGTTCTGAACCTAAACTTCTTGCATGAGCTCTAACCACTGCGTGTTTAAAGTTTTGTTCGTTTGTTTTGCCGTTTAATAAACATTTACAATTTAAAAGCATATAAAAACACTGGCGGAGCAAGTAGAAGACATTACTATGTCTTATCACCGAGCCCCAATTGTTCGTATTTGCAATAATCGTTTTATATATGTATACTTTACAAATTATTTATTGAAATCTATAAATGTTAAATAAATAACAATTAGTTTAAGAAATACTTCAAGAACAATAATCATGTTCAAGAGTAATAATCAAGTAAACAAGAAAAATTGAAAAAAAATAATAATAATAATGATAAGTAAATTAAAGAGCACGTATTTACAAGAGCGGCAATTATTCTTTAGAACTTATTTATTGAAAATAAGAAATTTAAAATATACAACAGTTTGTGGTTGGTTAATGAAAAGTTTTAAAAACAATATTCATGTAAAAAGTAATATTCAAGTAAAGAACGAAAAATTAAAAATAAAAGAGTAATCTATTTACAAAAACCATAATGTATTTGTATACCTTAAAATCAATTTGTATAAAAGTAAAATAAATAACAATTCATTGATAGTTGATTAGATTTCAACAATAATATTTAAGATTAGAGGAAACACCATAACTAAATTAATAGCTGATATAATCTCGGACATTATTTATATAACTGAATTTTAGTTTAAAAGAACCATTTAAAATCGGATATGTTAAAATCCATATATAATACCTGTTTTGATTCATTTTTAAACTGTTGTATTCAGTTTTTTTTTTTTTTTTTTGTATTTACAATCTTACGAAACTTTCGATTCCGCGATCTCGAACTGAATATGTAATTTGTTTTGAATTACATATAGGGACAATGTAGTTATTATCTCAAATTTTGTCGGGTATTTATGAATTAGTTTGTCAAAATAAGACTGAAATAATTTAGGTCCCATCTTTGTTTTATAAATGAATATTAAAACTTGGTGTGAGTTGACTTTATAGACATTTAACACACCAAGTATACGCAGAAGAGGCTCGCGTGGTACAGTTTTATCAGCTCCAATTAATATTATGCACGCATGTTTTTGTTTACTGTACAATGTTTTTTACAATGTAAATTGTACTTGCCTATGCAATATTACAATAAAGCAAAAACTATAAATGAAAGAAACTTTTAAAAAGTTTATTGTTTAGAAATGATTTAGATATCATAATAATATTTTTCGATTTTTTTTTTTCAATACTTATTATAAGTTCACTCCAACGTAAATGTTCATCTAATATAAAAAATAGACCATCAATGACTGTATCTTTGGTTTCAACAGATGATTGTTTGTCCTAAGAAGAAACCGTATGTATGATAAAACAGTGTGTTATCGACTGTGAAACATGGTGGATGTAGTGTTAAGGTGTAGGACTTTTTCGGTCGGAATGCCACAGATGAGATTGTAATAATAGAGGAAATAATGACAAAAGTAGTTCACTTGGATACTTTTAAAAAGTCATGTGATACCTTTGGAAAATTGGGTTAATAGGAAGCCATTAATTTTTTAAAAAGAAAGCGACTTAAAACTTAAATCAAAAGATATTCTTCAGATCATTGTATAAGTTATTTGGCTGACTTTGAGAACGATCAAATATTGAATAGAAAAATTTAGAAGCGTTTTGAATAAATATCTACTAATTTAACTTTATTACTCTTTTATACATTGTCATATTAATTATGCTAATACTGCGTGTGGAAGCGCTTACAAAAGTAATTTAAAACCACTTGACGGTCAACAGAAGCACATTGCACGACTTATAAATTTTAAAGATCGTCTTACTCACTCTAAGTCTCTCTTAATTAATATGAATACTCTTAATATATATAAAGTAAATGTTTTTAATGTTCTTTGTTTTATGTTCAAGTGTAAAACCAACTCTTCTCCAACCCCCTTTCTTGATTTATATTCTTTAAAAGAAAAAAATAAATATTCTTTAAGAAGTTATAATTCTATTAAACAACCAATTATCCAAACAAACTTTGGTAAAACCTGTATTTCATTTCGTGGAGCTTTCTTATGGAACAAAGTTGTGTTAATAAATTTTGATTTTTCTCATTAATGGAATTATTTTTTATTTAAGAGAAAACTTAAAGAAGTAATTTTTTCAATTGATAATATACTTACATACTTTTAAATTATACTTAGCTCTTAAATACATAAATTTATTTTATGCAATATTAATTTAAACTTACTATTTATATACATTTATTTGTATATAACTGTAGGTTGCATTGACTACGATATTTGGTTTATATATTTTTTATTTTATTTACGCTAATCTATTATACTGAACAACTTTAAATGTAAATACAATTCTGGATATGTGTACTAGGGTGCAGTGAAACTTTAGGTAAAAATATAAATAGTAAATTATTGATATGTAATAGCAACAAAAAGTTGCCTTTTGATATGTGTTCAAATAAAGTGAATAAAATTTCCTCAAAATTTTAATGTCTTCAGCTGTCTCAAGGGGGTCAAAGTTACTGAAAAATAGGTATTTTTTATGAAAACAGCCTGTTTTAGCCATAACTTTTTAAAATAAAAAACTGTATTTTTTTTCTTTATTGATACCCTGGGCCTGATTACTAATAGTATTGTTTCACCCAGTACTATATTAAGGGGGCTAGTTTGGGGTGGGGGGCTAGGGGCTATTGCCCCAGGCCCCCCAAAAGGGTCAAGAGAAGTTAAGCAGCCGTGGTGCAGTGGTAGCGCACTTGCCTCAGAAATGTAAGATCCGTGGTTCTAACCCCACCTCTAAGCAAGTTTTGCGACATCGGTTGGGAAGGAAGTGTGAACTTCCTATTAAATGCTCTTCCGCGGTGCTCTGTGATAAGACCGTAAGGACTTCTTGGGGCACCTAAAATCAACTTTAAAAAAAATAAAAAAAGTTTTTTTTTAGTCATCTTCACGCTCTGACACATAAAAAAGGGCCCTGAAAAGTTTAAATTCGCCATTGGTTTCACCTAACCTGTTTTGGTTATCTTGGTTATTTAACCTTTATAACTGTTCAATAAATTTTTAAAATTAAATGTTTTAAACTACTTGTTAACTTTATGTTATATTGACGTAAAACATGTTTTATTAACCTTTTTTTAGTTATTATTTAGAAATAATTATCTAAGTAGTTCATTATATTTCTTTTAATACTTCTCAATATAATTCTTTGCATATCAAGAAATTGTTACTAATGTTTGATATTTTAGTCTAGATTTTAATTTTATTTATGGCTTGCTAGATTAATGTATAAATCAATAATTACTTATGAATCTAATACAAAGTTTGCTTATTATAGAACAAGTTTTAATATGGCCATTAGGTTAGTGAGAACGAGGATGATGCTGACTTGTCCTGTCTTTGGTATACCTAAAGAGATGTCACAAGTTGTTTTACCAACATATGAAGATGTAATGAAACATTACTTGCTTGTAAAACATCAACTGAAACCAACAACTGCTACGAAAGAACCTACTATAACAGAAATCTCTGAAAAAGTTGCAGAAGTTGTTGAAAAAATATGGTTAAAACCGATGATTACTCATACACGGGTATTAAAGGTGATTCGCTCATATCATGATAAATACAGAAAACTATTTTGAAACATCAAGCGCAATAATTATGATAGCAAAGTAAACGCTTTTAAAGAAGATGCAAGACATAAATTGTTTGACATCTGCACCTGTAAGTGTGTGTTTGAGAAGTGTGTATGTAACAAAACTCGCAAGGTTCCTCCTGCAGAGAAAGATTTTATCCAAGATCAGAGAACTCTCAAATTGATGTGCATTAGCAATGTTGATAAACTTGCATAAAATTAACTGGCCATAAAGTTTTAAAAAAAAAGTATTGAGCAGCGGCGTAGAAATAAGCATCGCAATGCCTTGTCTGTGTCTACGATTGGTGATTTTGAAAGTCGATCTACAGCTCAAAGTGATGAAGATAATAATTACATTAATAAACGAAATATTTCCGATGTTTCTTCCATTGACATTATTAGTTCTTTGTATTTTCAATGTCAGCAACCACTTGCTGCATTAGCAAACGTCTGTGACCGGCATGGGATCTCAGATAGAGCCGGAGCTGCAATAGCAAATGCAGTTTTGGAAGACTTTAGTGTTGTTAATCAACAAGATACCTCTTATGTTGTTGATCCGAGTAAAATATGACGGGAGCGTAAGAGAAAACATAATCAACTAAAAACTTCTAAAAACTCAATAATAGTTCGAGGAATTTATTTTGATGGACGAAAAGACAAAATTCTTGAAAACATCAAGAAAGGGTTAAAGTTGAAAGGAATTTGTTATCAAGGAAGGGTTAAAGTTTTATCAACGAAGTATTACTCAAAAGCACATCTCTTTAATAGACGAACCAGGGTCTAAATACCTTGGGCATTTATCACCATCTGGATTGTCTGCCTATTTGATAAAAAGTTCTATAAGTCAACTTTATAACTATCTAAAATATTGACGTTAAAAACTTTGTAGCTGTTGGATCTGACGGAACTGCCGTAAACACAGTAATTAAAGGTAGCGCAATAAGGTTGATGGAAAAAGAATATAACAAATCGTTGCAATGGTTGGTTTGTCTTTTGCATGCAAACATGCGAGATATAGTAGATTCTTTATTACAACTTAACGGCTATTTTGCTCATTCAGAAAATCTCTTACTAGCAATGGTTAGTAACAAACGCCAACAAATTCGTGATTTAGGATTAAGGCGCATTCTTAAAACGCGAAAGGAAAAAGATCACACACTGCGGACTTTCAGTTTACCAAAGCTTAACTTAGATGCACATGATTACATAGAACTCATCAACTGGAAATAAAATAAAATAACCGAACCACCGTTGAAAGCTGATGAGGCTTCGCTGGCTGTATGTGGAGAAAAAACTCGAGATGGTTTTATTCGTGTTTTTTGCCAGTGTTTAAAACAAAGTCAGAATACTTTGAAAAAAAACTTTTTCTTGCTATTACATATAAATATTCCACTTTTAATTTTTTCACTGCACTCTAATATGTACGTTTATATGTGTGTATGTGTATATGTATGTGCGTTTGTATGTGTATGTGTATATTCATAAACTTTTATACCAGAAGAGTAGCATTGTACAGATGTATCACAGAAGAGTTAACATTATTACAGACAAAGAAAGAACATGAAATTACATTACAAGCATTTGATCAATATTTATCAATACAATAAAGATTAATACTATAAAACGAAAAAAGTAACACCCTAATTATTTATACTTTATTATTGACCTTGTACATAAATTTCAAAGAAAAAACAAACAATCATCCAACTCATGGAGAAATAAAAATCGTAGATATAAAAAATGAAGTATAAAAACTAAATTGAAGTATCAAATAACTGTCGTTGAATGAAGATTTACTTATTTTGATTTTGAGAAAGGGAAATTTATCAAAAAATCACACACGAAAGTCGCATGAGACAGCTGTTTGGAAGGCTATGAAATTTCGTTGCAAACACCTTTAAGCAAGTAACTTAAAACTATAACAAAAGAAATGTCTAAGTTTCGACAGTGGTTCTCTGTGACAAGACCTTGAGGTTTTCTTTGAGTGTCCGCGTTATTTATATTTATCCTTAACTTTTCAAGTGTAAAATTTCTCTTTTATATTGGTATCTCAAACGTTTGTATTTTAAATCATGTAATGAACAAAAAAAAAAAAACTAATTTAATTTGACTTTCTATGTAAACTTAATAAATAGGAAGATAACATGTGATTCAGGTAGATTTTGTTTTCAGTTTATCTCCCAATAATAAGTAAAACTTTATCTTATATCAAAAAGTATGATCGGACTGTAGTGTAAAACTTGGACTGTAGTATAAAATTTAGTTTTATCCGCATTTAGAGAGAGATTGTTACTTATGAACCAACTCAATAGCTCCAATTGTTCGTGAGCTGTTTCAAAAAGTGTTTTAATATCTCTATGAAAATTAAAAGATTAGAGTAGGTTACGGTTAGGTTTATTTTAAAAGAAAGTTTTACAACTAAAGGTTTATTGAAACGGAAATTCTTGTAGTTTTAACTTTCTCAGATCGAAAAATGTAAACCATTTAAGTTAGGTTTCCGAAAGATGGTCACAGCAATGAAAAAAAGATGGTCACAACAATTATTGGAATCTACTGTATTGGTAAGTTCTAACTAAGTGCTAAAACTTTAAAAATTAAATAGCGCTAAAAACGCCAAAAATTGCAGGTGCAGCATTTGTGACACGTTGGATATCAGGTTTAATGAAGAACATATATGATATAAATTGATTGATATTTCGGTTGACGAATAACTTTTTCCTAATAAAACATCGCTTTTAACCTGAACTATGGTAAATGTAGCAAAGTTGGGTACTTAATCCCGTTAAATAAAAAAAGTAAATTTTATTTGTATGCAATAAAATGTTTATTGTATATTTTTAATAGATAAAACATAACTGATATGCGAAAACTGAATGCGAGAATGTAAACAAACTGACATTAAATTTCTTTTTGATTTTTTAATATTTTATAACCTGTTTTTTTTTTTTTCAGTATTTTCAATAAACCCTCCTTTTCATTTTTATTATATTAGCAAACAATAAAAATCACAAACTATATGGTTTTTTCTCTAGTTGTGTTTATGCTGTTAAAAGTTAACAGAAAAACCAAAACCTTAACTATTTTTTTTGTTCTTTCTAAACTCTATTTTCTATGCCATCTTTCTGAGCCTTACTTTCTATGCCATCTTTCTAAGCCCTACTTTCTATGCCATCTTTCTAAGCCCTACTTTCTATGCCATCTTTCTAAGCCCTACTTTCTATGCCATCTTTCGAAGCCCTACTTTCTATGCAACAGCTTAAAACTTTCTAATAGTTTCTTTAACCCAGAGGTTAAAAATATTTTCATTCAATAAAAATGTTATAGTAATTTTTGCAAATTTAAACAAAGTCTTGCAAATAATGATTTCAGTGATAGCTTTATCGTTTATTTGTAAACAAAAATAAAATGTTTTTAGATAGCTTTCAGCAAACGGTGATAACAGTCGTTCGCATTTTTTTACTTGCTAGGCGCAGTTAGGCCTCATTCAAGCGAATCGGTTCACTAACTACTAAAATATTATTCAAATATGCAATTCAAAAGTAAATTCGTACCCACTTTTCTAAAAAATTTGTCTTAGCTCTTTCAGTATCTCAAACATAGTATCTAAAGTTCGAAGTTGGTATTACTAATAGTTTCAGTTGGTTGTCAAATGAAAATGTCAAAAATAAAGTTTGAAGTTGGTTTTTTTAATAGTTTCTTTTGTTGGTTGTCAAATGAAAATGTCAAATATAAAGTTTGAAGTTGGTCTTTTAATAGTTTCTTTTGTTGGTTATCAAATAAAAATGTCAAATATACAAAAATAAAATATACTTTTTTTATGAAAACAATGTTTTTCGTAATATATATATATATATATATATATATATATATATATATATATATATATATATATATATATATATATATATATATATATATATATATATATATATATGTATATATATATATATATATATATATATATATACATATATATATATATGTATATATATATGTATATATATACATGTATATATATATACATATATATATATATATGTATATATATACATGTATATATATATATATATATATATATATATATATATATATATATATATATATATATATATATATATATATATATATATATATATGTGTATGTATGTATATATGTGTGTATATATGTGTGTATGTATGTATGCGTATATTCACATTTTTATTTAGAAAATATGCTAAAAATATTTATAATTAAAATGTGATTTGAAGCGTTAACAAATTATGTATGTTCCAAATGATAACAAATTTCTGCGAAAAAATACAGTCTTTGTTCTAATCATCTGCTTTATACTGATTTTAATAATTTTATCTGGATTAGTTGCGCATATAGGTGGTATGGCATTTTTAGTATGTGAATTAACTTACGGACGCTGTTCCGAACTTTCTACTTTATCGAAATATTGTAGTTGTCGTGTCACTGAAAAGGAAAAGACAAAAGAAGAAAAGAAAGACTTTATTTTGTTTAAACCAGAAGAAAAAAATCAAAAGCAAGAATATGAAAAAAGAACAATTTTAATTACATCATTGCCAAGATCAGGATCATCATTTCTTGGAGAGATTTTTAATCGGCAAAAAGATGTTTTTTATTTTTATGAGCCATTGCAGCCTTTGAATGCGCTCTCTCAATTAATTTCTTCATATAATTATGAAAAAGAAGCAGTTACACTTCTTTCAAATTTTTTTGTTTGCAATTTTGAAGGTTATCAAGATTACTTTAACTTTTTATCATTTCCAGAACTAAGTAATCCACATTTTCGTTTAATGAGTCGTGTTTTATCAATGCAACCTTTTTGTGCGAAACGCGTGCTTCCAAATTCTACAGTAGAAGAGTATACGAAGTACTGCGTTAATATTAACGTTAAGCTTCTTCGCAAAAGTTGTAACACCAAGTCGACTTTTGTTATAAAAGAATTGCTCCATCGTTTACCTAGCGATGTTTCAAAAATAGAATTTTCAAACTATATATCATTAATTCGTGATCCAAGAGCAATAGTATGGTCAATGAAAAAAAATAAATGGGTTGAAAATAAAGGGTACTTTGCTTCAACTGAATATGAAGCGATTGAAAAAGTGTGCCGTATTTTCCGAAATAACTATTTCTCAATGCTTAATAACAACAGGTTAAATAAACTGGTAATTTTAAGGTATGAAGATTTAGTAAAATATCCGAAAACCACTCTTAAAGATTTATTCCAAGTTACAAAAACTTTCTTCTATCGTAACATAGACGATACGGTTGAATGGGTTAACGTAAACACGCATGGAAAATCTGAAACTGGTTCTTCTAGTTTTTCAGTTTTAATGAAAAATGCGTCTTACTCGTTAAACTCCTGGAGGGAAAACTTAAGTTTCGGTAGTGTTCTAGAGATTCAAAATAAATGCGGAGACGTAATGCAACAGCTCGGTTATGTATTATATACATCAAGTAAAGATCTAAGAGATTTTTCCAAAACGTCGGTTGTACGAGTAAAAAAATTCTTTAAATAATATTTAAAGCAATAAAAAATAAACTTGTTATATAATAACTGGCTAAAAAGATAAGCGCGCGCAAAATAAAAAAAATAAAAAAATTTAGGCGGATATTCTGAAAACAAATTAGCCGCTGAACGTAACTAAATAGCTCTTTACTAAGATTAAGTTGTTTTATAAAATATCTATAAAGATTATAGTTATTTCTTTTATTTTACAATTTAATCATCATTAAAAAAATCTTTTTATACTATAGGGAAGATTCCAATATATTTATTAAAAAAAGCTACAACTTTTTCTTAACTAATTATTTTAGTTCTTTTTGAATGAACAGTCTTTAAAAGAAGTATTTATGTATATTTATACACAATAAAAATTAATAGAGTTTGGTGAGGGTTTGAAAAATCACATATGTGAGAGAATAAATTTAAAGACAAGCAATTAATCAAATTTGCGGCAACGACACAGGCTGCTCGGGTAGCAAAGATCAGTGATGTGTTTTATAAATAGAGATAAAGTTTCGTAGTAAATTAAGAACATAAACAATAGAGATAAAGTTTCGTAGTAAATTAAGGACATAAACAATAGAGATAAAGATAGAAAAAATAGAGAACAATAGAGAACAATAGAATAGAGAACAATAGAGAACAATAGAGAACAATAGAGAACAATATAATATCCACTAATTTAAAAGATCATTAACGTAGAGTTTTGAAAATATACAATTTTTATATATTTTCAAATAGTTACCTTTTCAACAGGTGTAATTTGTCCGTGATTTATTTTTACAAGTAAATTCAAATATACAAACTCATCAATTAGATAATTAAAAGCAAGAGTAAAAGCAACATTGCAACGATTGAAGGCAATATTGCAATGAATAATCAAAAGCACAAAACGATTAAATTACTCTTGAAACATATAAAACACTAGTAAGTCTATAAAAACAAGAAAAAGATTGCGCAGGGTATGACAGACATATATAATAAAACTTTCACTAGCTTAACATACTCGGGAATCAATGAAATGATATGAGAGAGAGGTCTCTTAACAAACACATTCAACTAGATAATTTTGAATTAGCATAATCTCAAAATATATCGCAAAGCAGTTTTAATTATCCATAATGTTCAAAGTCATCTTTGTAAAAGCCTTCAACGGATCCTATGCCCTAACATTAGGCAATGATAAAACTTTTTACCTTAACTATATGGTAATTTTTTAAGCTTTTGATATTTTTTCCCGGTTAGGGCTGAGCCCCAGGTTCTTAAATAGGCTGCGGGCTCCAGCGCGTTATACGCCGAAGTGTAGAGAGGTAAATTGTATTTTGCATATAATTTAGTAATCAGTTTTTTTTTTAATTAAAAGAACTGATTATTAAATATTATAAACTGATTTAAATTTAAAAAAACTTTCTTGGAATCAAGGATGTATATCAGTATGCTCCCTCCCAGTATGCTCCCTCCCAGTATGCTTATAAAACAATTGTTGTAAAAAATAAACAAACAAAATTATTACCTAACTAAAAATAATTATTCATTTTATGAACATTATTATTACTAAAAATAACTATTCAAAACTAAATAAAGTATTAAGAAATATATAAAAAAAACAACATAAACAAACATTTTACAAAAAAATTTCAAATTGCTTCTTTACGTACTAAACTGGACGCAGTAATATTTTCAACTCTTTAATACTACACTTCTCTTTATCACTGTTATAAAATTTTTATCACTGTTATAAAATTTTTATCACTGTTATAAAATTTTTATCACTGTTATAAAATTTTTATCACTGTTATAAAATTTTTATCACTGTTATAAATTTTTTATCACTGTTATCTAAAGCTTTTGATACCGTCAACTATCAAATTCTAATAAAAAAATTATTATCATATGGAATAAAACACTGTCAATTGGTTAAAAAGCTATCTTACAAATAGTAAGCAATATGTTTGTAATAAAGAATCCGCGTCTCAAGTGTTAATGAACATAACGTGTGGTGTTCCACAAGCCTCCATACTTGGACATCTTCTCTTTATAATATATCTAAATGATCTTCATAAAACTTCAAGCCTAACAAAAATAATCTTTGCAGACGACACAAATTTATTTCTATCTCATGAAAATATTAATATTCTTTTCAATAACATGACAAATGAATTAAAAAAGGTTTTTGATTGGTTTAAAATAAATAGGTTATCTCTCAGCACTGCTAAAACTAAATGGACACTTTTTTATCCACTCTATAAAAAACATAGAATACCTCATTTGTTACATGAACTATGCATTGACAATGTAATGATAAAAAGTGAAAAAGTAACAAAATTTCTAGGAATCTATATTGATGAAAATTTAACTTGGAAACAACACATTAACATTATCTCTTCTAGCGTTTTCAAATGCATCGTATTCTTGATAAAGCTAGAAACATACTAAATAAACGGCAGTTGACTCAATTGTACTATTTATTTGTTCACTGTCATATAAACTATTCAAATATTATATGGGGAAGCAATCAAAAGACAAAACTTAAAACTCTTTTTAATCATTAGAAACACGTAGCTCACGCAATTATTTTTAGAAATCGTCTAACACACTCTGCGCCACTTCTTAAAGATATGAAAACTTTGAATGTTTATCAACTTAATATTTTATGCTTTATGTTCAAGTGTAAAGAAAATTTATCTCCACAGGTATTTCAATATCTTTATTCTTTAAAACCGAAAAACAAATATAATTTACGAATTGACAACAATCTCTCTTTGCAAGATGCTCCTTTTTGCAATGCTCTCTTTTGCAATGCTCCCTTTTGCAAAACTAAATTAGACGAGTTTTGTATGTCCTATCGTGGACCTCGTCTTTGGAACAAAATAATTTTACCTAATTTTGACTTTTCAATCAAATTAAACTACTCTGCATTAAAAACCAAAATTAAAGAAATAATCTTTTCAATTGAAAATATCTTTATCTATTTTTGAGTTTTTATCATTATTGCTGGTATATTAGACTTTACCGTATTATGTTTTACTATTTACGAATATTTCCATAATTTCTTTGCAAACTTATGTATTTAATGGATTTTATGTTTGTATTTTATTGCTTTTTATTACTGTGTTTTGTTAAACTTTATAATATTGTTTTTGTAATTTTACGAATTTTTATAACTTAATTATAATATTACGTATTTATATTATACTCGATGCTAAAAAGCATTGTAAAGAGATTCATGATAAGATTCTCATGATCTTCTAGAAATCCTGCCGCTAAATTTGTAATATATTTATTTATTAATATTATTATTTTGAAAAAAAAAATTGTATCTGTACCCCGTAGGTATAGGACATCATTTTCATTTTTCCAAAATGGTATTATTATTACAAAAGTTGTGTATTAAAATGTTCTATTTAAGGGTATATAACGTCATCTCCAAATTAGTGTAACATCAATAGTAGTCGTAAAGAATATAACACTGTGTCCACTTTCATTCAGAGGTATACGACATCATCTGGACATATCTGGATATATATATATATATATATATATATATATATATATATATATATATATATATATATATATATATATATATATATATATATATATATATATATATATATATATATATATATATATATATAAAGGTGTGCCAAAACAAATATTTTTTGCATGTATGTTTTCCTCATTTCCTTATGTCTACTGAGTTCATATGTATGACTAAAAATGTTTTCTGATGGTAGTTTTAGCTGCATGTAAAATCTCAATTTCTTCATTTTTGATAAAACTTAATAATTATTTACATTTTTTTAGATGCAAATCCAACACTTTTACATTTTTAATGTTCCTTACCCTAGAGGATTTGAGAAGCCAATGTTTTTAGACCATATAAGAATCAGTCAATCTGCCCTATTTGGTACCGAATGTTCATTGAAGCCTGATTCTCAGAGGGGGTTGGTAGTGATGACTAGTTGAACAACCTTTGTGTTTTCTGTACACAGTTTTATTTTAACTGGATTTTGTCTATTATTTTGATTTTAATCGCTTATAGTAATAATTAGAAACAATTTTTTTTATGGTATATGAACTATTTTTTTCATGTATAATTATGTTATAGTTATATATATATATATATATATAAATTCAATATGCATATTTTACTTGAAAATTGTATAATTAAATGTAATGTTTTTAGGGGGACACTAGAATTAAATTACTTAAAATTTATTTTTGTTTAAACTAATAATAAATGTATTAACTAAGATAAAAAACCACGCGGCCGTGGCGCGATGGTTATAGCGCTTGCTTTATAAGCAGGAGATCCAGGTTTAATAAGAACTCTGGACATATTTTCGCGTCACGGTAAGAAAGAAGGCGTAAACTTCCTGGTTAAATGCACTTTATTTATATATATATATATAATTTGTTATTTAGGTGCTCCAAGAAGACCTAACGGTCTTGTCACAGAGCACCGCGGAAATGCATTTAACCTGGAAGTTCAAGCAAAAATATGTCCAGAGCTCGTTTCGAACCTGAATCTCCTGCTTATAAAGCAAGCGTTATAACCACTGCGCCACGGCTGCAGTGCTCTGTGACAAGACCGTTAGGTTTTCTTGGGGCACCTAAATAACAAAAAAAGTATATAAAAAAATGGGTTGTATTCAAAAAATTAAAAAAAGGGCTGCGAAGAGAAAGTACATCATGTCAACAAATCCAAGGAGGCTGCTTTTTTTCCTAAAATACGCAAGAATTCTGAACAAAAATGTGTTGCCTCCGCTTTAAATTGACGCTTGGAAGAAAGTAGGATTTCAAGGTTTTATATCAGTTGATCCAGTTTCAGGTAACTGAAGTTCTATAATAAGTACATAAATCTGCATCACATTAATTCATTGAATTGGAACTCTACCCAGCTAGCACACTTACATTGGGCCAACGTATTTTAAAGGATCGCGAACGTTGGCTCTTTTTTCCAATGCAAAACCAACGTTGACCCAATATTATTTGGTCAATGATAAAATTATTACCGACGAAACTAAAAACATCTGGTAAATTTACATTGGTCCAATGTATGTAAAAACATCGCAAAAATTTGATTGTTTTTACGATCTAAACCCAACGTTGATCCAATGTTTATATTTTGACGTTGATTCATAATATATATATTTATACAGACATATATAAATATTTATATTTATATATATAAACATATATATATGTATATACATATATATATATATATATATATATATATATATATATATATATATATATATATATATATATATATATATATATATATATATATATATATATATATATATATATATATATATATATATGTATATATATATGTATATATATATATACGTTGATTCATAATATATATATTTATACAGACATATATAAATATTTATATTTATATATATAAACAAATATATATGTATATACATATATATATATATATATATATATATATATATATATATATATATATATATATATATATGTATATATATATATACATATATATATATATATATATATATATATATATATATATATATATATATATATATATATATATATACATATATATATATATATATATATATATATATATATATATATATACATATATATATACATATGTATATATATATATATATATATATATATATATATATATATATATATATATATATATATATATATATATATATATATATACGTTAATACAACGTAAATACAACTTTGGGCTAACGTATAAAATAAAACGTTGAATCAACGTAGAAAATATAACCATTTTCCTACTTTAAATAAACGTTTTATCAACATTGTTGGCAACGTCGCATTTGTAACCATAATGATATAAAAGCAACGTTGGCAGCCGATGTTAGACCAACGAAACGCGCGACATTGTTCTAATGTCTTAACAACGTATGTGTGCTAGCTGGGTAGCAGTCAACTTCTCTAAGATTCAGAGAGAGTTTTTAGAGGATAGTAAAATACTCTTTTATATTTCATTGGCAAATTTTGAATAAAAAATAAATCAGGATCATTTTTGTTCTCAGAATGCAGAATTCCAAAAAAATGGATATTTAGTTCTAT